ACTATAGTTTATAATTCCATTACTGCATTATTTAGTTAATTATATAATTATGGTATTGTAACATATCTAATAAATTTAACAAATGGGTCAGATGGACCTATTATTTCTAATAAAGATGCATCCATCATTGATATCTAATGTTCTAACATAATAAACTTAGTAAAAAAGTCTTTACTATCTAATGTAAGAGTAGTATTAGCTTAACCAAGTATAGATTCATCTAATATGGCATTGGAATAAAAAATATTATCATCAAGAAAAGTTTAAAGTTAATCTAAATCTTTAATTTGTAATTTAAGAAATTCATAACTCTCTTAAATAGATGATAGTTGATAATTATAATAAGTTAATTTATCTGACATTCCCATATCATTAAAATCAGATTCATTTCGGAATATTAAAAGATCTAAGAGAGTATCATATGTTTCAATCATAGTTGTTTACATTTATGATAATGCTAAGATTCTATTAGCCTAAGAAATCATTGGATTAAATTCTAAAAAGGGTTTAAGGAAATAAGTTAATAGATTTAATGTAATGATAGCAACAAACATTATTCTCAAAAACCAAGTTAAATAAGCAATTTTAATTAAGAATTTACGAGGTTTATTATTGTCTTCTTTTCTAAATATATTATCTCCAGCATTAAGTGAAAAATTAAGTGCTCCTTATTACATTTTAAATTGTTATTAAAAAGTATCCCAATTAATCATTTTATTAAATGCTTTACTATCAATTAATAGATCTTTATCATCATCAATTTCTTGAATTTAAGCATTCATTTGATAACCTAAATTTCCTTTAAAAGATTTATCTTTTACTAAAGCCATCTTTGGATTAGATTTAATATCTACAGGGCTAATCTATTATTTTGTATCATTTTCACTTGCCATAGATACAAATTTTGAATTTTCAAATTAATTTGATAAATTTGTAGCTGATAATTTTGATCCTTTACCACCTAATTCTCTTGAGGGTTATATATTCTTTAAAAAGATTGATTATTTACGATTATTATCTCGTTCTCTAGTAACTCTTTTAATCTTCATTATTTCATTTATTGATATAACTTTGATTATACCTACTCTTTCATCTTTTATTTTAATGAATTAAATAGTACAATTTACCTTATATGTACGAGTTTTTTATTCTTATATTAGTTTCTAATAGATTTCAAGTAATAATTCATAGAAATTTCTATATTATATAATTAAATAAATTACACATCATCTTAACATCTTTTCATTTCTGCTGCTTTTTAAAACATAAGTCTAGCTTTTTTTCTAAATTCTCTTTGTTATGTTCCTTATTTAGTAAAGAATTTTTCTTTTTCCTTTTTCTTTCCTTAATCTATAACTTCTTCTTATTTAACTTACTAATATAATAATTTATAATACATCATCTTATTATTTTTTTAATTAGTACATTTTAGATTTTTAAGATGAATAATAATCAATAATTTTATCCATATTTTCTGGAATTTTCATTCTAAATTATATTTATTCTCCACTATTAATTTTACCTTCTAACATTTTAATTCCTTTAATTTTTTCAATCATTTCATCTCTACTTGCATTATCTTCACTAAAAGCATCTTTTTCTTTATTACCCATAGTTTAAATTTTCTAATAATTACTTTAAAATTATGTTTCTTTAAGTTAATTAATTTATTCTTCTGCTCTTCTTTCCATTTCTTAATTAAGATTTTATATTTTATCAAATTAACCTAATTATTTATTGAAATCTTCAAATTCATTCTTATCACTAATAGAACTCATTTAATGTTATAGAAATTTATCTCTTTCATTTTAGACTACTAATTATTATGGTGCTTATTAATCAATAGATTATTATGGTAATAATACTTTAGATCCAAAATCAAGATCAGAATACATACCTTAAATAGGTTTACCAAGTGATTATTTGAGTGAAGCTGAACCAAGCATATTGACATTAATTTTAGGTTTACTTGAATTAGATAATTAATTTTCAAGAACATTTTGATGATGTATAATCTTTTAAACTGGTTTTCTAGGATTTTTCATCATTCCAAAAATAGGTAAATCTTTTTCTTCATTAATTAATGGAGCAATTCTAGAATATTAAATAAGTTTAGGTGCAAATAAAAGTAAATTAAAAAGTATAAATTCAGATGAGACTTTTTTGAAAAGACGAGGATTAAGATTAAGTCCTGAAAGTACATTATTAGTTAATCCATTTATTTCCCAATCATTATTAATTATCATGTAATCATGTTTCTTTTCATTATCAAAATCAGTTGGTCTAACCATAATTACAAATTAAGATAATCCATTCAAATCTACATATAATTTTAAGAATTTCCATGCAGTAAACATAACACCAGATTTATGAAGACAATAAATCTTTCTTTATGAATAAAGAGAATTACTTTTACCTGTTTATTTGTAATCATGAAGTATTTGAGGATGTACTTTACTAAAAACATCAGGCATTAAATTAATGATTGGTAATCTATAAATAATAATAATAATATTTACATTCTAACTACTTCTTCACTAGTATAACCAAAAATACGAGTAAATTATTTATTAACTTTAAGAATTTATGATTAAATATCATCACTTGCTTATATAATACATGCTTTTTTATCAAATATAATTTTCCTGCTTTTTATTTCTATTTTTTCATTATCTAAAAATCCTGATTTAACACTATTTACATCTTCATCAACATTGTGTTCTTATAATTCTTCTGAAAAAATATCATTCTCATTTACTTAAAAACCTTAAAAATTATCTAAAATTCTATTTTTTATTTTCTTATTTAATATATAAAGAGTGAACCATGCATAATAAAATTTCCATTTCTTTTTATATTCTAAATAATTAGTTATTGTTATCCATAAATGTTTTGTTTCTTCTATTTTTTTGAATTACATTTATAATAGATTGTCCATTTCACTCATATCTATTGTTGTTTATTATAAATTATTCCAAAATATACAATTTTATTTTAAAATATTTGTTATATTGTTTTTTATTGAATCAATTTATTCTTCTACAAATAATGCATTTTCAATCTCTAATTTACCTTTATAACTATCATTATTTTTATGTCTTATAAATTTTATTATTTTCCATTTTAATTAATAAGATTTATATCTATCCAATAAAAATGTAAATCTCTTTTCTAAATCTGATAAAATATGCAATGCAATTTAATGATTATGAAATTTACTAAACATAAACCTATATTTTAATTATATTTCTTACCTTGCATATAGTATTTAAATACCTACATCATTAGGTCTATTACTAAGATATGTTTCAATCCAACTTTTTATTAGAAATTTCATAATTATTGCTTTCATTGTAATCCATTCTTCAACCCTTACTTCCTTTCTTTTTTTTGAATCATAGACTCTTTTCTTTTTACAAAAACATCTTCCTTCCCCTTTAATTACAGGATGTTAACATTCAAAATCTAAATGTCTCTATAATATCCCTTTAAAATAAGTATCAATTGAAATATCAGTAAGTGATACTTCTAAAAAAGCAAGAGTTGTATATATTTATTTCTATAATGCATCAGCAGTAAGAGAATGAATATCAAATTAAATAGTTAAACTTTAAGAATGTCTTAAATTATAGCCAATAGTCAATAAAAGAAAGATCAAAGTGAATATAAAATAAACACTAAAATTTTCAACTGTTTTATCATAATTTTAACTTCGATGTAATTCATCAATTATAGTTGAAAAGGTTGTACTAATTAAAAATATTAGCATGATTATAAATAATGATCTAGTATATTTAGTCCCAAAAGCTAAAAAACCATTTCCTATTATAATGTTTGCTAAAAATAATGTGTAAATCAAAAATGACACCACCATAAATAACCATAAGAATGTGTATACTTTAGTACTTAGATATGATATTATAATTATACCTAAAAACTACAAAGAATGCCATTACAAAACGACTAAATTAGTAACTACTTAGATAAATTACATTTTCTCCATTGAAACAATCTTTTTTATTTTCCCAATTATTATGAAATAAAGCAGTTAATACAAATATATTAAGTAATCCACATATTAATCCTAAAATAGCTAACAATGTTAAGATTATTCTGACTGCATCAAAAATACATTCTTATTCTTAATTACATAGACAAAATTCAAAACATGTAATCATACATGGAAAGAACATTAACCAAATATAAATATCGCAAAGAAACACAAATAACTATTGTATAATCAATAAATTAATACTTTTCCAATAAACTTTTTTCTAGGCTTGTATTCTGGTCCTAATATATAAATAATTAAATAGAGTAGAGTTAGACCAATTGTAAAGATTAATGCTATCGTAAAGATGAAATATGAAAAATTTGTGTCAATACGTAATAAACTCAGGATATCTACATATTGACATGCGCTGAGAATTTGATTTAATAATGTACTCTCTGTTGAATAATGTAAATCTGCAAGGTGCTTATATCAGAATATAAATATTAGCCTTACTAAGAAATATAACTCAAAGCCTAATGAAAAAACGAAACGATCAACATGATAGTAACTTTTGAAAAGCTAGCAGCTCTTAATTTTAGAAAGTCGTTAAACAATTTGAAATTTACTTCCAACCCTTATCCTTAACGAATCTTCTCTAAATATTTATCCTATTATTAGAGAGTAGGGATCTCTGGTTCTGGCTATTATTTCATATTTTTCATATCAAAATATAAATAACTAAATTATATATGTTAATATTTTAATATTACATAATAAATAAACTTTTATTATGCAATAGTGAAGTATATATTAATATATATTAGATCAATATTAATTAATTTCTATGTTTATTATTTATAAATTGAAGTATTCATTATATTAAATATTTAGTAAAACATATATTTATAATACTTATTTCATTAATTAAATAAATTTCATAACTTAATTAATCAATTAACGTACAATAAATTAATATTTTAATACGTTGTCTATATATAATATATAATCAAAATATTGAATCCCATTCTGTATCTTTTGGTTAAGCAAACACTTTCTTCTAACCCATAGTATCTTTTTAGATCTAATCTATAACCAAAATATTCTTTTTTATTTATTCTACTATTTGTGAATCATTCATTAATTTTTCTTTCTTTGGAATTAATGGAGCCTAAAGTTGACGCTATAACAATTTATTCTAAAATTGAATATTGATTGATAAATACCCAATCAAAGTCAGAAAACCATTAATTGTTTTTGAGAGAAGAATATGATCCTCCTAATCTACATTCAGGAATCTTATTCATCAATTATTCAATTATGGTCTTAGCTGTCTTATCAGTAATATATTATGGATAATGTATAGGGTTCTTAACAATTTCTTTATAGATTTCAAAGGGATCATCTTAATCTTCTCCAAATGGTAAACCTCCACATAAAAATTCATAGAGACAACATCCTACACTCCACAAATCTGCAAAGTATCCATAACCCTTACCAGAAATAACTTCAGGAGCCATGTAATGAGGAGTTCCAATAATAGTGAATGTTTTTGGTGGAGCTATTTTATAAATGGATAATAATTACAAACATTTTTTAGACTTTTTGCAGTGCCCATATCAATTAATTTTAAGTAACCATTTTAATCAACCATAACATTTTCTGGTTTAATATCTCTATAAACAATTTGATGGACAGTGTGTAAATATTCCATTTAAAGTATCATTTGGGCAGTGTAAAATTAAGAATCATATTTACTTAATAACCCAATTTCTCTAATTGCATCAAATAATTCTTCTCCTGCAATATACTCAGTTAGAAAGTAGATGTTTTCAGCATCTTTAAATGATCTATAAAATTTTAGTATGAATTGATGATTCATCATTTCCAATACTGTCTTCTCTTATTAGACATGTTTTTATATTCCATATTATTGAATATGAGCTCTAGTAACATATTTAAGTGCAAATAAAGTATCTTAGTTTTTATTCTTACAAAGGTAGACTGATCCAAATTAACCAGATCCTAATTTATTTAAGAAAATCAGATCTTTCAATTAAAATTATTTTACTAAGTCATTAGATTATTAATATTCTTTAGAGTGAACATTACTTTATTCATTTTCTTACAATTTTTCAACACTTCCATATGTATTACGATATTTATCATAATCAATAACAGCCACATGTCCTTCAGTCTCCATCGTAAAGGATTATAAATACTTTGTATTAGCTACTTCATCATATAGAGATTCTTCATTTAAGATACTATTAATAATTAAATTCTTTTATTCATCCATAACATTTCCTTCCAAAGCTATATACAAATATCCAACTTTATCTCCTTTATTAATTATCTTTTATCCAGCAGTATATTTTCTATAAATAACTCCTTCAATTAATTTATCTTATATTGCTGCTGGAATTTTGCCAAATAATTTTGATCTATTTAATGCCCATTTACAAATATTCTTATAGATTATATATTGAACTTTATCACCTAATATCTATGTAATCATATCTTTTCCTAAAGCTACAACTTTAGTATCCTTTTCAATTGCTTTGATAGTCATCATTCTAATTTGATTGTCATGTTTTAATGCAGATTCACCAAAAGAGTCTTTAGGATTTAGAGTTGCAATCTAAACATCTTCTTTATTAAAAACACCACATTTGCCTTCAACTATGATATAAAATGAACTAGCTTAATCTCCTTCATTTACAATAATTTCATTTTGATTAAACTTTTATAGAATCAATACTCCTGCTATAGCATCTTTTTAATCCTTAGTTAATTGATCTAAATATTTAATATAATATATTACTAAAAAACTTAACTTATTCTAATAATTATCTATTCTTTTCTTATTCACTCCTCATTACATTTTCTACACTTTTTCTAAATGTATGTCTATCTATTCCCCATAAAAAACATTCTTCCATAGCCACACATGTTGCTGATCTTGGAGCATTATATAATAATGCTAATTCACCAAATCCATTTCCTTAATTTAATTATTTTCTAGAGATTCCATCAACCAATACATTAATTTTACCTTTTTCCAATACAAAAAATGAACTAGCTCCATCTCCTTACTTTATTATAGTTTATCCAATCACCAATCTACAATAGAACATACTCTTTGCTAATTGTATTCTTCAATTAATTATCAATCTTACAATTAAGTTTCATTCATCGAAGAAAATACAAAATGAGATTAAAAGCATTTTACAATAAATCCAATATCTTATGGAGTTTATGGCTTCATTAAAGGCTCAAATGTCTCATAAATTTTTCCTTCATTTGAAACTATAGATTTCTTTATTGCAATATTTCTTTTCGTAACTCTACGCACAAGCTAATTCTGATCATGCTCATTCTTAGGAGCCACCTACTATGTAGGTTTTACTTATTGATGCACTGGTTTAGCTAAACTTTATTTTTGTATTCCAAATTCTTGTACTGATGATTTTTAGTTCCATTAATTCTTTGAATCCATTATATTTATTAATTTATATATGTAATAAATAATATTTAAATGCTAAATATTACTTTTATTTACTTCATTCATTTACAGATTTTAATATAATTGAAAATGCCACCTTTTCTTAATTCTCAATCTATTCTTAATTCTTGAATATCTCTTGCATTTATGGTCCTAATTCTAAAGCCAATTATGCATTTAATTAAAATTAACAAAATGGCATTGATTCATCATCTAATTCCTTTTTTATTTCCATATAAGCCTTCATATAATAAGAATTAATACATGATATATGTCAGTAAATAAATTCTTTTCATTCTTTTCTTCAAAATTAGAATTTATCAAATCACTTAAATTCTCCTCTATATCCATACGGTTTGGTAATTGATAATCTTCATCCAAAGTAATCAGAGGTTTTGGTGTAAAATTAAATAAAATTATTTGAGATCTTCTCAATAATACATGCTTTAATTTCTATATTTCTTAAATCTTATAAAGGATATCATGAATATTAAGGTCATTATTCACTTTATTACTAAAATTAATCACTATTAATAATAATAAATACATAGCTTTGTTCAAAAATTAAGAATCATTATTGTTGAATAATAATCCAAAAGTAATCTAATTTAATATTAATTTCATTGATAAACTAATCTGATTCATTTACTAAAACTATTTAATAATTGCTTTCTTTAAATAATTCTTCTTGTATTTCTCATCAACAAGACTATCATTTAAATTCTAATTCTATGAATCCTCAACTGATAATGATAAACCCTTTGCATTTGATACCTAACTGGGTTTTATTATACTCATTTAATTTTATTCCTTCCCAGAACTTATCTTAAAATTATATAATTTATTTGATAACTCTATCTGCACTAAATAATAAATATATTATTATGATACTTTAAATTTTATTATAATACATAATGAATATTCCTAATCCAGTTATCATTATCTATAGAAATCCTCCTAAATAAGAAAGTAATTCTCCTATCTAAGTATATCTTCTATTAACTATCTCAGAAAATTAACTTCTCCTCAAATAAATAATGGCATAGTTATCATCTGTATCTCTTCCTATCTCGGTTAAGTCTCTATAATCTGAATTCTCTCTTACTACAACTTCTTCTTAATGGATATTCCTTAATAATAAATATTAATCTAAATACTCTAGTGGTAATAGTGATAAATCATTAAAAAACTTATATTTTCTGTAAAATAAGTTAGCTTATCTGGACATCTTTTTTGGAACAAATGTAAAATACATTTCTCCATCTAAATATGAACTTACATAAGTCTTTGGTTAGCCTGGATTAACAACAGAATTAACTTAATAAATTTAAAATTTAAATTAGCCTTCCTTTTATAAATGTTATTATTTAGTTTATTCTGATGCACAAACCGGATTCCATCCTTCTGTTTCATTGTCTTTATTGTCTATACAATCATTTACAATGATTTTAATAAAATTAAATTCCTAACTAGAATATGTACCACTAAGTTTGAATTAAAAATCCTTTCTTAATTTATTCAATTATTATACTTGGGACATAACCAATTTGAGAGATCAAGCGAATTATATTATTCCTAAAAATTGATATCTGATTGGTTTAATAAGAGGTCGAAGTGTGATAATGTACAAGTTTCTAAAGGAATATAACTTATATTTTTTATTAATTTTCCATTTTCATCTCGAATGTATTGTCTAAATCAATATAATAATACCTTTATTCTATTGAAATATTGAAAAATGGACTGATTGCAAATCCTTTTTATTCTATTGAAAATGCTGCCATATAATTTTATGATGTCAAAATCATATCATCTGGATTAATAGAGAATTTAGTTTCAAGTGAAAATATGATTTCTGTTTAATTAAGGAAATCCATAACATTTGAAAAAAAAAAAGCAATCAAAATTGCAATTATCAATATTGATGAAATTCCTCCAAAAAATGTTTTGTAATTAGATTCCTTATTTATATTTAATGTGATTGTTTGACCAAATATGTCTAGTTATTGTATTGCTTATTAATATATTACATCATCTTACTTGAATAAAATTTCTTCATTAATTATAAAATTCAAATGAAACACTATTATATTATTACTTTTTTTTGATAATCATAAATGATAATCTAATTCTATTTACTTTATTTATTTATATACAAAAATTATAGATATTTTGATCTTAATTAATTTAAATAATGTCCAATTATTCAGATTAAATACTCTTATCACTTTTAAAACTTGGAAGTAAAATGGATTCTATAACAATTATTAAACGTTTTGGCAGAGGTGTCATTGATTAATAGAGATTTATTGAAATGATGAAAGTACTTGATGATTAAATTCCTAAAACAGAAGTTTAAAATTTTTATATATCAACTCTTATAGAATATGAAGCATCAGCTATGTCAACCTATATTATCAATGATTTACTTCGAAAAGCGAGTTTATTATTGGCAAAATAGAATATTTAAATAAGAAGTCCAAATGAAATTTTTCATTAAATTTCAAAATCTCTATAAGTTAAGAATTAAGATATTGAAAGAATTTTTTGTATTTTTGACTCTGATAAGGATAATTTTCTAAATGAAAAAGAGTTTAGGACATTTTTGGAATATTTTGTCCCAACTCTATCTCCTGATGAATATATTAAATTAAAAAATACAATACCTGCTTAAAAAGTTACTCTTTACAATCTAATGAGCTGGATATAAGAAAGTAATTCAATGAGAAACAGTATTAAAGCATTATAATAACCAAAAAAAAATCCATTAAATTAAAAAATAGACTAAAAAAGACCAATTACTCAAGATAAATAGAGAGATACTACACCAACTAGGAAACCTTAATTACCTTAGAAACCATCATAATAATAAAATAATTATGTATAACCTATAGTAGAAACACCGAAAAAGGATTAGTAAGAATAATTGAAATTACAAATGCAAAAATAATAATAATAACAATAATAATAGTAGTAATAGCAATAATAATAACAATAATAATAATAGCAATAGCAATAATTAAAATAGCAATAATAACAATAATAATAAAAATAGCAATAATAACAATAATAATAATAATAACAATAATAACAATAATAATTGTAAATGCAATAATTGAAAAACCCTATAAAAGATTCTCCTTAAAGAAAAATTAATCCTATTTTAGAATCTATATTATATGAAGATCCATAGTAAGCCAATATTTTAAAATCTGATATACAATTTTAGAATTACATAATTTTAGACTATAATATACCAGGTGTTTAGGACTTTCTTAATAAATTTAATGATTTATATAGATAGAAACAAATTTTTACTGATAATGAATTCCCAGCTAATGTATAGAGTTTAGGCTCAAAATTAACACAATTTTAATGGAAGCGAATAAAAGATATATGGCCTACATATGAAGTTTTTGTTAAAGACGTAACCCAATCTAGGTATGGTTTAGGAAAATGGATAAGTCCAAAAGATATTTGTTAAGGGTAATTGGGAGATTGCTATTTTCTATCAGTTTTAAGTTCAATGGCATGTAGATGGTAATAAAATTTACAAATACTCTAGGCCTGACTTTTTATTGGATTTATTTTTAACTTAAACAAAAAACCCATGTGGTATTTATTCAGTTAGACTTTGCATTGATGGTGTTTGGAAAGCTATTATTCTTGATGATTATATTCCTACTTAAGGGAATTAGCCTGCATTTTCATAAAGCCCATCAAAAGAAATCTGGGTTTTACTAATGGAAAAAGCTTGGGCAAAATCTTTTGGATCTTATTCAAATATCATATCTGGTGATTCAAAAGAAGTCATTCGTAGTCTAACTGGTGGACCAACATGGAGCTTAAAAACTGATTAGCCAGATTTTAAAGAATAATTTATAGGAAATGTGTAAAGAAAATGTTTAATGACAACAGGAACATTTTCTAAAACAAATAATTCAGAAATTATGGGTCTCATAGCTGATCATGCATATTCTATTTTAAAAATTAGAACTATTTAGCATCCATCCAAAGGAGAGGTTATGCTAATAAAACTGAGAAATCCTTGGGGAAAAAAGGAATGGATAGGAGAATGGAGTGATGGTAGTTCATCATGGACTAAAGAAATAAAATAATAATTAAGAGTATCTGAAAAAGCCGAGGATGGAATCTTTTATATGTCTTATTAAGATTTTATTAACTATTTTAAAACAATCTATGTTGGATATTTCTAAAAAAGCTATATATATAATTCTTAAACAATTGTAAGTAAATCTAATAAATCTATTTATTTCATTTTTAACATTGATGTAGCAGGTTAATATTATTTTACTGCTTAATAAAAATCATCAAGACATTTTAAAGAAAAATATACAAATTATGATTATTCTTCTATAAGAATGATTCTTGGTTCTTAAACGAAATAAGGTTATGTGTGGGAATACGCAAAGTAAGAGCAAGATTAATAAGTATATGTAGGGGAGTTATTAGATAAAGGTCGTTATGTTTTATAAGTTAAAGTAAAGTGGTTATTTTGGAATGAAGAAAAATTTGTTATTAGCACTTATGGACCAAAAGAAATAAAATTAAAATAGATTTAAAAAGATCCAATGTTTATTAAGCAAATTCTATTGGATTAAGCAAAGTAACATCCTAAGAAAGAATAAAGTGGATGTCCAAATCTTGAAATAACATCAGATCTTCCTCTTAAATATGGGTATTTTAATTATATTTATCTTAGGATTGGTTATGAATATTATAAAAATACTGGTAATGATGTTATTTAAGTTAAAAGTACATTTTCTAAAATGGTTGGCTTAAAATTAAAAAAGCCAGAAAGAGGAAATCAATATTAAATTACATTATAACCTAATTCTGAATATTTAATTGCATATACTATAAAAGCAGAAGGATTTTAAACATAATAATCTAGGTCATATACAACAACAAAAAGATGAAATTTTAATTTATAATTATAACAATTAATTTTTAATAATTAGAAGTTTTTAATTAGATTATATATATATTTATATAAATTGTTAAAGATATATACTATATAAATTTTTGGATTCAATATGATTAGTATCATTAATTTTCAATCTTTATATTCTCCAGTTATTAATCCTCTCTTCTCAAGCTCTTCAAACAAAAATAATCTAACCACTATATCTTAAGGTAATTCGAAAAGTTTTGGAGGTTACCAAAATAGTGCTACTCCTTTTTTACCTTTTTTTTCTCTTTCTTCTTATGTTGCATTTCTAAAAGTAATGAAATTCTTATTCCACTTTTCAAATACATGACTTAATAATTTCTTAGTCATTTGATGCAGAAAGGAACTTAAAAAAAATATTTTATTTACGCATCATATAAGAGAAAATGTATAGGATCTCTTTTATTTTTAGCTGAATCACTTTATTTACTGTATCTAAGAGCTATTTGGTACAACTGTTTATATTAGACACTCAGATATAGTTTTAGATTGCTCATAAACTCGATTCTACTGTTTTTATGTTTCACTAATCGATTCACGCATTTCTTTACTTCATATGGTTTTTCGCATTACTTAAATTTACAACATGAGTGCCTTTGCTTTCAGTAATAAAGCAAGTAATATTATTTTGCAACATTTGTGTAATTATTTTTTAAGCTCTTCTTTTAGCCATCATTCTTGAATTATTTGCTATCAATTTTAAACAACTATTTTAAATATTAATAAATATTACTATTTTCCTTATAATATTGTCCTTAATTTACAATTAGGTCCAAATTTTTCTACCTTTTTTTTAATTTTATTTAAAAGTTAAATTAAAGAGATCTATTTTTTCATATTTTTAGCAACTATTTATCTTTAATTTTCAATAAATTCATTTATACCAGGAGCTAAAATATTAATTAAACAAATAATTTTAAGCCAAGACTTTTAGACATATTCTCTATGTTTTATATCTCTTTACATTTCTAGTTATTTTCTATGAATTTATTTGGCTATATCATGAACTTATAATTAAGCTTGTCTTTTTAAATTTTACTCTACTTTAATTCTTCTTATTTTTTGTTTTATTTCTAAATGTTTTGGTGTTTATGGTTATTCTGGAATTCTACGGGACATTTAAGAACATTTATTTAATTGTACATAATTTTATTAATTTGCATAACGAAGTCTTCTTCTCATCATAATTTCTTCTATTTGAAGTTCTAAATCAGGAGGAAATTCATAAATAGATTTTTCTTTTCTCTCTCTTTACACAACTCTTTTAGTAGTTGGTCTTCCAAATTCTATGTTAATACCAATTTATATTTCATTTAATGCTAAAATTGCAACATATAAAGTATCTTCTTAAAAAATTTCAGAATTTGATGTGTATTTTAATTATCTTCCACTTACTTCAACAGAAGCATTAAATCGATTAGGCTATATGAATTTAGGTGATGCAAATATTCGTAATCTTGTATTTGGATCACCTTATTTAATTCTTATTTAAAGAGTTAAAGGAGAATATCTATCTTTTATTCGTAAAGATGTATAAAAAAACTGATTTCTTCTTAAAATTACTTGAGACTCTTGTTCTTCATCTAATTGTTATACTTTGAAACCTATTTTTTATTCACTAAACTTCCTTTATAAAATTTCTTATTTGATTTCATTTTTAACTTGTAAATGATGTTATGAATGTCTTATAGTAAAAGAGTCTAGTAAATTAAATTTTGTTTATAGTTTGTTCTTCTCTTCGTTTAGAATATTGGATTCAGGTTCTATTTTAGCAGGTTTAATATGTTTAACAATCTATTTATTGTTTCTGATATGTGTTCGATCAGTTTATGGTCCTTAAGGATCTAACATACTTAATGTGGGATCTGTAAAATAGTCTAATTAGGAGAAGCGATGTGTGCTGGCTTCTGTTTAAGGTAAAAGGAAAGGTTTAATTGATTATCTGATATACATATTGAGTCCTTTTGGTTAGTAGTATGTGTTTTCATATTAATGGTCCTGTTACATTTATTAATTAATATTTATTCGAAAAACAAAACTCAATAAAATAATTTAATGAAAAAATTCATTCTTAATTTCATTAAAGATTATTGAGTTTGATCATTTTAAATTAAATTATTCTATAAACATATTTTTATAGAACTTTACTAATATCACAAATTGTATTTGAAATGATTTACAATAAATAAATGAATTGTCAATATTGCTGATTTACATTTTATAAAAATTCTTAATCAATTTACAATCAATAGAGTTAATGTATAACAATTATTAATACAATTATGAATTAATCAAATCTCTTGTACCAACAACATAATTTTTCTCCAATACAAGAATTGTAAGCCATTAATGAATTGGAATATGAACAAGAGTACCTGAATACTGGTTTAAAAGGAACATTCAATAGTCCGAATTTTGTGATTAAGTCGCAATTAGACACTCGTAGAACGAATGAGGTTGATTACACTCCTAAATAGGCCTTACTTCCAGAATGGACAAAAAGAGCATAGCGTACTGGTGTTAGTTTGATGGCATTTTTCTTTGTGAAACGGTTTGTATAAAAAATACGAAGTCATCGATAAAAATTGCAAAATATAAATGAAAGTCATCTTTAGTTGATTGATGATTAGGGATCTGATAAGTAAATAAACTATTCAACAATAGTTAAGTTATGTTGACTTAAATGAAATTTGCAAGCCCTGTTTTTTAAATTCGTAATGTCTCCCGACTTTTTCGATAACATACATTAGTGAAACCTGAGAATCCTGTATATGTATCCATAAAAGAGAAATATTAAATGTTAAGGAAATATGCATATGAAAAATTATCAAAGATTCCTCAATTCCATCCTGAAAGTCCTAAGAAATTAATGTGGGACTACTTCATAACTGTTATTAGATTGATATTATTGGTATTAATACCACTTGAGATTGCTTATAATCCTGGAATTTTATTTAATTAGATTTTACCACTTACTACTTTACTTTCATCTTTATTACTTTTTGATGTCTTAATTAGATTAAATACTATATGTTATGTAAAAGGACATGCAGTTTTAGATCGTTTCGAAATAGTACGCCAATAAATATTTAGTGTGTTATTTATAGATGTATTAACTTTAACTCCCCTTTTTTATTATTGTATTAAAAATGGAGACGAAATATCAAATTATTATCTAATTATTTTGCTTACTTCTTTAATGTAATTCAAATATATCAGTGAAGTCATATAAAAGAGTGAAGAATCATAATACTTTAGTAAATCTCAAAAAGGAATCATTAGTCTATTGAAATTGATTTTAACTCTTATGTACATATTACATATGTTTTCATGTATTTGGTATTTTAATTCTAATTTGAGTATTGAGGAATCTTGGATTCAATTCAAATTTTTAGATTAGTAAACATGGCAAGTACAATATTTAGAAGCATTCTATTTTGCTATTGTCACTATGTTAACTATTGGATATGGAGATAATGTACCAAAAAGTTCAAATGAAAAAATTTTAGCAATCTTTTTTATAATGGGAGCATGTTTATGGTTTAGTTATAGTGTCAATACAATTGGTATCATTATTAAAGAAATTAATCAAAATATGGTAGAGAGAATTAAAAAAATTAGAGTTATTAATAGATATATGCATAAAAGAAATATTCCTTATGGACTATAATATAGGTATTTATTTTTTTATAAATTTTAGAATTCGAGAATATCTTAATTTCAGATGGAAAGAAGAAGCAGAAATAGATTTATAACAAGAAGAATAATTATTAGGTGAATTGTCAGAAGAATTGAAATAAGAATTAAGGCAATAATCAAATAGTGTATTTTTTAGTCATTGCTCCTTTTTATCCAGTAATTTTAGCCTAGAATTTTAGAATGCTCTATCTTGTCATATTGCTCGAACTATTATACAACCTTAAAACACTTTCTCCATCTTTACACTCGGCAATATTAAGCAGCCACATCTCTGCTTTGTCGAGTAAGGTCAATTACAATATCTAAATAGACATCGTCATTCACTCAAAGGAATTTAATGTTAAGGACAATTCCTTTAAGTTTAGGATTTCGTATCTGAAAATGAAAACACTCAAATCTACTAAGCCATTGGTTATGTTAGTCTTCTGACTCTTAGTAAAGTAATTCCTTTAAATAATTATTAGATAGATTTTCTTGCAGTCTTAAATAATTTCCCCAAAGATTATTAGCATTATTGTCAACTAAAAGACAATATTAAATTAAGTATTCAAAAGAAATAGTTACCTTATGGAGTCTATTGTGCAGCTTGTAAACAAAATGATCATGATCTCATTGGATGTCCTTAGCTTAAACTTACTATTGATAGAGAAGTTGTTATTAAAAGACATTTATATTCTAAACCATAAGAAAGAAGTGAATGGAAAAGATCTTCAAAAAGAATTAAAGATCTATTTTAGACATTAACTGATTTAGATATAATAGAATAATTTACACTCTATTTTCAAAATGAAAAACAAAAATTAATCAAATCACAATTACAATAATAATTAGTATTTGAATAAGAAGTTGATGAAAATCCTATGAAATCAGATGAAAATATCTCTGCTCCTCCAACTCATGATCATAATTAATAACTCCTTTTAAGAAAATAAGACTCCATTTTACTATCATAAAACTTTTCCTCCTCTAACAACTTTCCACCCTAACCTATTAGTCCAATACATAGTATGATTCATTCTCAAAATCATCGGCGAAAATAAGGTATTATGGATTCTTAAAGCTCTTATGATAATAATCATTCAATCAAAAGAGGTCAAAATAATTATGACTTTGATCTTAAACCGCCTCCATTTAATAAATATACAACAGCTAAATTATCTATGTATAAAAAGAATTATTTGAGTAAATACCAATAACAATAACCTTAATAGTCATAATTAGATATTGAACAAAACTAATTAACAGATTTTAATGAAATGATGCAATAGTAAATTGAACAACTATATCTAAAAATGAGAAAATCTGCTATAAATGAATAATTAGAAAATTTAAAATCCATTTTAGATATAGAAATGCTTTATTTGAAATTTAAATCAGAGTAGGGATTAGATTAATTTGAAATAGTTAAAAATTATGATCTCTATATGGTAAGTCACAATATCAATAAAGTTTTATAAGAAATAAGAAACAGATCTATTAACCATTTTAATTATATGAATAAACTTATCTATTATATGTACTTTCCATTTGAGTACGTAATGAAATTCTAGAAACTTCAATAGAGAGAACGCTCACTTAAAACAAGTAGAAACCTTCCTCGTAAACCTGGTTTATCAATATCAAAAATTGTTGAACTTAAAAATGTATTTCAAAGAAAACGTTTCACACCTCGCAGAAGCATTAAGATTAGTTAAGTCAATCCTGATTCTGAAGGATGATTTGTATTTCATAAATTCAAAAATGTCTCTAATAACTTTATTATTTCAAATATAAAATATTATTTTTTCATCTATTCTATAATTAATTTATATGATTCTGCTCAATAATATTCTCTTTAGAACTTTCTTTTTATTTATTTTGATTGTTTTCAGCTTTTACATAATCAGAAAAAACTTATTAAATCTCAATTCCTAATTCTTGATTGAGTTTCTAATTTAATTATTATTTACACATATTTTCATTTTCATCATATTTTATTTCTCTCCATGCCTTTTTATAATAAAATTTATGAGTTACATTAAATAGATCTTATATAATTAATTCTTTTTGTATTCCTTCCTTGTCCTTTTCTGTTAAATATTATTCAATTTAAAGTCTACTTGGAAGTTATTCTTCATCCTCCAAAGTTAAATTTGGTTTTTGAGTAAAATTAAATAATATAATCTAATTTTTATTAAGAATTAAGGCTTTTAGCTTCTTTATTTCTTGCAATTAATATAATATTTCTTAAATATCTAAACTTTGATCAACCCTAATCCTAGCAGATTGTTATTAATAATTACATTGCTTTTTTAAAAAGTTTGGATTCTTTATTATCAAATAAAAATCCGAATGAAATATAATTTATCAATTATTTTAATGTTAATTTTAATTTTGTAGACTTCTCAAATAGATTTAAAATTTATTGAGTAATACTTATTTAATCTTTATCATTTATTAATGTATCATCTTTTTTTACTGTTTGATCAGGTTAAATAGCAACCTTTGATTCATTTAGTTTTAATGCATTAACAGTTTATTTATCAGTTTATCTGAATGAAAATTTTTTGTTTAATCTTTAAGAGAAGTTATACAATTTATTAGATAATTCAATTTATACTAAATTTATATAATTAAAATAGTTTACATGATAATTTATTATAATACATAATAAATATTCCAAAACCTGTAATCATAATTTATAAAAATCCTCCAAGAAATGATAATAATTCATCAATTTTAATATATCTTCTATTTATAAATTCTGAGAATTGACTTCTTCTTAAATAAGCAATAGCATAATTTTAATCAGTATCTCTTCCAATTTCTGTTAAATCTCTATAATCTACACTTTATCTAACAATTAATTCATTATCATTAATAGATCTAAACTATATGTACTAAATATACTTAAAAAATGGCATTAGTGAGTCATCATTTTAAAAATCATATTTTCGATAATACAAATTTGTTTGCCTTGATAATTTCTTAGGAACAAAAGTAAAATACATTTCTCCATCAAGATATGATTAATAATATTATTCAGGAGCTTTTGGATTGATAACATTATTAACTTAATAAATTTACAATTTAAATTATCCTTCTTTATTTAAATGTTCATTAATTTCAGATTATTTAGCACAAGTAGGTTTCCAATTTAAATAGCCATTTTTAGAATCATCACAATCATTAACAATAACTCTAATAAAATCAAATTGGCTGCTAGTGTAAGTTCCTTATATACTAAATTAAAAATCTTTACTAAATGATAAAATAATTAATTTATTACTATGGACAAAGCCATTTATCTAATTCAAGCTATTAATATTCAGTTTCAAAATCAGATTCAGGTTAATTTAAGAGAAATTAAAAATGATCTAATGTACATGGTTCCAATTATAAATAATTAATTTATTTTATTTAATTACCATTTTTATCTCGATAATAATGTCTAAAATTAATATATACATATGTTTATTTACCTTTATTCTATTGTAATATTAAACATTGGATTCCCTATATAATTTTTTTGTTCTATTGAAAATGCAACCATATAATTTTAGATATTCATAGTAATTTTATCAGGGTTTGGATCGAATTCAGTCTTTGAATAGAAAATGACATCCGATTTTTTAAAAAAGTTTACAATATTGGATTGAAATATTGTTACCAAAATGAAGATGAGGCAAATAGATGATATACCACCGAAAACAGTTGTATATGCTTTTTGCTTATTTATGTTTAAGGTTATGGATTGGCCAAAAATATCCAAGCTTTTGATGACTTTCGTTTAATAACATCTTTACTTAAAATGATATAAGGTAATTTTTTAAGTAAACTTTACATTAAAATATTTAAATTTATTTTGAGTTTCTTTGACACATATATTTTATTATATAAATAATTTTCTAAAGAATTTAAAAAACACAATTATTAATTAATATTCTAATAGTTATGAGTTTATGTAAATTTCATGACTTAAGCTTCCAATAGTTTTAAATGGGCTTTCTTTTTATAGATTCTCTATTATTAATAAAATCTCTAGAGAGAAATTTATCAATTAGAAAAAACTATAATAAGAAAGAAATATAATGAAAATTGATTGAAAATAATTGCTACTCATGAAAGAAGAAAATATTAAACTGACTTTTACTCTTTATAAATCAATTAAATAAAATTAAAATAGTGTGAACAAAACATAAAGTATTTTGTTTTAAATTCTTAATAAACATTTTTCAATAAATAGAAATATAACATCATTATTAAATTTTTCATCAATTTAAAGTTTACTATATTAATGTTTGAGTTTAAATTGTTTATTAAGATTCCTTCTATATTTTCTAATTAATACATGCTCTTTCATAATCAGAAAATATTTGTTGAAATTCATTACCTAATCCTTGATTTAGTCTCTGATTTAATTCGTATTGACAAATATTTTAAGTTTTATCAGATTTTATTTCTAACCATGCCTTATATAATAATTTATATGATTTACATTATAAAGTTCATTTATTAAATCTTCTTTATAAGTTCCTTATTTCTCTTAGTCAGAAAAAGTTTATTCTATTATTAATCTATTTGGAATCTGTTCTTCATCTTTTAATGTCAAATTGGGTTTTGGTGTAAAATTAAATAATGTTATTTACTGATTTTTCAGAATTAAGGCTTTTAATTTAGCTATTTCTTGTAATTAATAAAGGATTTCTTAGATATCCAAATTTTAATCAACAGCATCCCTATAATATTTGACTTATTTAAATACATAGCTTTTTAGAAAAGTTAAGTTTCATCATTATTAAAAATTAATTTGAATGATAAATGATTAATTAATGATTTCAGAGATAAGGTTAATCTTTAAGATTGTTCAAATAATTTTAAAATATGTTTAGGAAATTTGCATTCCTCTTTGTCAAATATTAAAGTGGCTTTAGGAACTCCTTAGTCAGAATGTACAATCAATTTAGAATCATTAAACATTGATCCTTCTAAGGTTTGTTAAACTTGATTTTATTTGATTTTAGTTTTTCCTTATTTTTCTGGGAAGTTATACAATTTATTGGATAATTCAATTTATACTAAATTTATATAATTAAAATAGTTTACATGATAGTTTATTATAATACATAATAAATATTCCAAAACCTGTAATCATAATTTATAAAAATCCTCCAAGAAATGATAATAATTCATCAATTTTAATATATCTTCTATTTATAAATTCTGAGAATTGACTTCTTCTTAGATAAGCAATAGCATAATTTTCATCAGTATCTCTTCCAATTTCTGTTAAATCTCTATAATCTACACTTTATCTAACAATTAATTCTTTATCATTAATAGATCTAAACTATATGTATATATATTTTACTGATATGGTAATAACGAATCGTCATTTTAAAAATCATATTTTCTAAAAAATAAATTTGCTTGTCTTGATAATTTCTTAGGAACAAATGTAAAATACATTTCTCCATCAAGATATGATTAATAATATTATTCAGGAGCTTTTGGATTGATAACATTATTGACTTAATAAATTTACAATTTAAATTATCCTTCTTTATTTAAATGTTCATTAATTTCAGATTATTTAGCACAAGTAGGTTTCCAATTTAAATAGCCATTCTTAGAATCATCACAATCATTAACAATAACTCTAATAAAATCAAATTGGCTGCTAGTGTAGGTTCCTTATATATTAAATTAAAAATCTTTTCTAAATGGTAAAATAAATAATTTATTACTATGGACAAAGCCATTTATCTAATTCAAGCATATAATATTCAGATTCAAAATTAGATTCAGGTTAATTTAAGAGAAATTAAAAATGATCTAATGTACATGGTTCCAATTATAAATAATTAATTTATTTTATTTAATTACCATTTTTATCTCGATAATAATGTCTAAAATTAATATATACATATGTTTATTTACCTTTATTCTATTGTAATATTAAACATTGGATTCCCTATAAAATTTTTTTGTTCTATTGAAAATGCAACCATATAATTTTAGATATTCATAATAATTTAGTCAGGGCTTTGATCGAATTGTGTTTCAGTCGAAAAAATAACAGCAGTTTTATTGAAAAATGATATAATATTGGATTAAAAAAATGCAACAAGAATAGCTATGATAAGAATGGATGACAATCCTCCAAATATTGTTGTATAGGTTTTCTATCTGTTAATATTTAAGGTAATAGATTATCCAAAGATATCCAATCCTTTGATCACTCTAGATTAATAAAATCGTTACTCATAATGACATAGGGTAATTTATTATAAAGATTTTACATAATTTAATAATTATATTTAATTTCTTAAAAATTATATATTGTGAGAACCTTTAATTTTTCAATTAACATTCTAAAATTATTCAAAAGTTTATCTATCCTAATTCACTGGCCTTATATCCTTCAGGTGTTGAAATTAATTAGGGTGATATTTATATAAAATCTCCTTCAATTGTAAGTTTGAAGTAATTTAAAATTTAAGAATAGACATAGGTGATTATCAATCCACCTAAAATAGATATTGTAAGAATCTTATTAATCAAAATATTGATACCTTTCCAAATGCTTCTGCATAAGTATTTTAATATTTGATTAAAATTATTGGAATCAAAGTTGAAAGCAATAAAAGTAGTATCAATACTCTAATTAGTTTTTACCAGAAAGTAAGCATCTTGTAATGAATACTAAATTGATTTTCATTATAAATTCCTCTAGTTAATTTAACACCTAAAATGAAACTGAAAGGAAACCAAATATATAAGCTTAAACTAAAACAAACGTTATGTAAAACTTATGGACTATTGATATTATAATGAGTTTTTTAATTTGGACATTTTTAATACAAAGCATCTAACCAAATTTCCACTTCATCTTCATCTAGAAATATTTTGTTATTGAATTCAAAGATTAAAATTGATAAACAAGTCCATCCAAATGCAAATAATCCCGCTCCTTTAATCACTTTACTTGATACTCCTTAGGATCCTGGTTATAAGCATTACTTAATGTAATTAGATATTGGAGTATGAAAATAATGCATATATATTATAATCGTATAGGCTGTATAAACCCAACCTAGTAAGATTTATCCAAAAGAATGAACACCCATAAAAACTCTAGAGAATCCTGTCATAAATGTCCAAACTGTGACTATAAACATTACAATTATTCTTAAATGCAAAGGGTACTTGTAACTATTTCATAAATTTGAATTACTTTTATTGATCCTTTAAAAAAACAGGAAATATTATACAAGGTATTAGAAAACACATAGCTGATGATGACATTGCATGACCTGAAGGTTTCCCATATTCTTTATTACATTCATATGGTTAAATAGAGTCTTCAATAAAATATGGGCGTGCTTAATGGTATAGATTTTTAAGAACTGAATTTTCTGCAAAAATTGCTTAAATCAAGCAACCATAAAGTAAAGCACCTAATTTATTATCGAAAAATAAAAATGCAATTAATGCTATTCCTGGCATTGCAAAAAGAGAATATGAAAAAAATAAAAATATTTCTTTTTCTCCTGGAAATTAGTGCTCCTGTAAATAAACTGTTAGGACAGTATTAGCTTCCCACATTTGATTGTTTAATAGGATATCAAGTATTATGTATAAACATAATGCAAATGTAATAATTATGAAAAATTTCATTAATTAATTATTACATTTATTTGGTTAGATTGTAATTGAAATTACTATATTATTATAAATGATCGATAATAGTAACACTGTAAAGACATCTAACTTTTTGCTTCAATCCAACAGAACTTAACTGTGGACTCTTAGTACTAAACCAATAGACTCAAGTGTAAGTGGTTGTTTTCATGTTTCCTACAAATTAGGAGTCTTCAGAGAAGCTAGTCTATACTTATAAGGCTAAAACCTCTATAAATGCAAGAATCATGTAATTAGATATATGTAGACTATTATAGAAGTGGAAAGTTTGTGATATTGGAAATTCTTAATTAGAAGTAGTAAGACATAATGTATTTGGAGAAGGGTGTAAATTAGGATTTGGATAAAACTATATTGAAATANAACAAACGTTATGTAAAACTTATGGACTATTGATATTATAATGAGTTTTTTAATTTGGACATTTTTAATACAAAGCATCTAACCAAATTTCCACTTCATCTTCATCTAGAAATATTTTGTTATTGAATTCAAAGATTAAAATTGATAAACAAGTCCATCCAAATGCAAATAATCCCGCTCCTTTAATCACTTTACTTGATACTCCTTAGGATCCTGGTTATAAGCATTACTTAATGTAATTAGATATTGGAGTATGAAAATAATGCATATATATTATAATCGTATAGGCTGTATAAACCCAACCTAGTAAGATTTATCCAAAAGAATGAACACCCATAAAAACTCTAGAGAATCCTGTCATAAATGTCCAAACTGTGACTATAAACATTACAATTATTCTTAAATGCAAAGGGTACTTGTAACTATTTCATAAATTTGAATTACTTTTATTGATCCTTTAAAAAAACAGGAAATATTATACAAGGTATTAGAAAACACATAGCTGATGATGACATTGCATGACCTGAAGGTTTCCCATATTCTTTATTACATTCATATGGTTAAATAGAGTCTTCAATAAAATATGGGCGTGCTTAATGGTATAGATTTTTAAGAACTGAATTTTCTGCAAAAATTGCTTAAATCAAGCAACCATAAAGTAAAGCACCTAATTTATTATCGAAAAATAAAAATGCAATTAATGCTATTCCTGGCATTGCAAAAAGAGAATATGAAAAAAATAAAAATATTTCTTTTTCTCCTGGAAATTAGTGCTCCTGTAAATAAACTGTTAGGACAGTATTAGCTTCCCACATTTGATTGTTTAATAGGATATCAAGTATTATGTATAAACATAATGCAAATGTAATAATTATGAAAAATTTCATTAATTAATTATTACATTTATTTGGTTAGATTGTAATTGAAATTACTATATTATTATAAATGATCGATAATAGTAACACTGTAAAGACATCTAACTTTTTGCTTCAATCCAACAGAACTTAACTGTGGACTCTTAGTACTAAACCAATAGACTCAAGTGTAAGTGGTTGTTTTCATGTTTCCTACAAATTAGGAGTCTTCAGAGAAGCTAGTCTATACTTATAAGGCTAAAACCTCTATAAATGCAAGAATCATGTAATTAGATATATGTAGACTATTATAGAAGTGGAAAGTTTGTGATATTGGAAATTCTTAATTAGAAGTAGTAAGACATAATGTATTTGGAGAAGGGTGTAAATTAGGATTTGGATAAAACTATATTGAAATATATGGTAAGATAGAAGAATTGTTGGAAAAACTAAAAAAGTAGTGTATTTAATCAAATTTCACTCAAAAATATTCCATTCTCAAATTAATTGGATAAGGTACTTATGGAAAGGTATTCATTAATTATAGAAGTTAGGTTTATAGAGTAAAGAATAAGAGTAACTAAAAAGAATTTGCTGTTAAGACTTTTGAAAAATCTTTGCTTATACTACCAAGTGATAAAATTGCTTTAGCCAAAGAACTAGAGATAGCTCGTCTGTTTGAGCATCCAAACTTATTGTAATTTTATGAAACCTTTGAATCTGAATAATTTATATTTGTAGTTTTTGAATTGTTATTGGGAGGCAATCTGCGATAAGAAATAAAAAAATCGAAAATTAGTGAAAAAAGAGCTTTTAACATTATTCGATAATTACTTGTTGCTTTAGATCATATGCATAGTCTTGGTGTTATACATAGAGATATTAAACCAGAAAATATTATGTTTAGAAATTCAGAAGAACTGGTCTTAACAGATTTTGGTTTGGCAGATTATTATAGAAAAGATGGATAATATCTATTTACTAATTGTGGAACTCCTGGATATTGTGCTCCTGAGTTATTATAGAATAAGTTATATGATTTCAAAGTGGATGTCTTTAGTGCAGGTATTGTTCTCTTTTAAATGTTGACTGGAGAAAACCCTTTTGATTCAGATGATTACAATAAAAGAGTTAAATTAAATAAATAAGGATTAATAGATTGGAGTATAGTAAATGTAAATGGAGATGCTTTGGATTTCCTTTAAAGTTTACTTTCTAGAAATCCATTTCATAGACTTACTGCAGCTTAAGCTATTAATCATAAGATTTTTAATTAGGATTATGGTCGTTTTTAAAGAAGTGGAGTAAGTAATACTTTAGTAAGTACTGGCTCACAACTGTCTTCTCCAAATACAAAACAGTTATAAATTATACCTAGTCCGTTATAAAGTCCAAAAATCAATAGTTTACATCAATTCGAATTTGATGAACTGGATAACTTAATTTTGGAGTAAAGTAAGAAAGATAAGTCTATTGTCAATTATCCCATGTTAGAAAGAAAACAAAATTAATAGTTTTAGTTTAACTATAAAGTATAACATAGGACTACAAAGTCAGAGGTATTGCTATTTTTTTAAGAATGATATTAGTTATTAATTATTAGTTAATTATTCACAATTCTATCTAGGACTTAGATCTTATATTCGGAAAATCTTTGAATTTAGCATTCACAACAGGAGCATGTTTCATTTTTTCAAGTAGAGTATTACGTGGACTTTCTGGTATATCTATTAATTCATCAGTTGAATTATCCTTGATCTATAACACTTCAAATTGGTTTAATATGTTAATATTATCCTATCTTGACATTTTCATATTTTTGCCTAGATAAGCAATATTGATATAATTGATAACATATTACTCATGAAATCTTGAATTAATTTGATTGTCAATTACATTAGAGATATTGAATTTAAGCTTTTAAGATAAATTCATAAGATGATCTTATTCAATCTTATTTTATGCAATATTACTTTGATTTATAATTTTTTTTTTATTTTCAATTATCATTTACTTAATATCATGAGAAAAACAAAATCTATTCTCTAAATAGAATTTATATTTGAATAACATATTAATTTAGGTTATGATCTAAGGTAAATATGTAGATTTAAAATTCCAACCATACTTAGCTTTACAAACTAAAAGGTGCAATATAGATTATAAGCACATCTTAGCTTGTAAATCTTAGGAATTGTTCATGAGTAAATTAATCTTATCAATAACTATTGGAAGTTATTTTGAAGATCTCAATATTTTTAAAATCTCACTTAGTAAATATTCAAGTAATTATTCTCCACTTAATATGCTCTAGTCAGTTGTATTTATAGCTGATATTTCACTTTCTTATCTAGCATTAGATCTACTACCTAAAGTAATCATTCCATGAAATTTATTTGAGTTATATGTTAAGAAATGAAATCTTAAATAACATTTCTCATATTTTAAATATAATTTGACAAATCTTAATTATATCATCTAAGTTTAATATTAACGTGGTATTTTATTATAGCGATTATTAATAAATGGATTAGGTCTATAATTTTCTAATAAATAAAATATATCAACTGATTGTTATTTTTAAAATAGAATATGCAAAGGAGTATTTTTATGAATACCATCACTTTAATCGACATTGCAATGTTTTAATGCCCATTTTACTCCTTCATATGAATTTTATTTTACAGCTATATGTAAACAGTTTTCACCTTAATGTTTAATTTTAGGATTAAATCCTTTTTATACCCAAAACTCCATAATAGAATCTATATTGTGACTATGTTACAATAATGTAGTATAAGGTGTTTAACCTTTTAATATTAAAATCTTATGATTGCAGATTAAGTCAAATTTGATAGGGTAATGTAAATTAATTGAATATTAGGATATAATTTATATGATAAAAGTTTAATTTGTTCTTGCACTTAATATATATACAACATTTAATAATTCTGAATCATTCTAATTTAAAAGATCTATTAAGTAATTTATAAATTTAATGTTTTCTTTAGTTCCAGGTTAAGAAACAACAAAAATTAAACTTTTCATAGAAACTTCTTTTTAAAATTCAAATGTTAATTTGAGTATTCCTAATGAGTGATTTGTTATTATCTTTTCTAAATTATATGTAAATTATGAATTCATAAAATGTTCATAAAATTCTTAAAAAGTGCAATCATGTGCAAAAACAATCATTAATTTATTACATTATTATTCATCCATAAAATAGGAGAAATTACAATAATTTAACCAATCTAATTCAAATTATTCTAATTTTTTGATAACTTTGCAAATTTCTTATGGAATCATGATGAAGGCATTTTTTGCAATACCTAAGAAGAACAATTGCATATCAAAGAGTTGACGAGGTAATTCATCAATCAAATTAGAATTCAAGTTTAAATGATGTAAGGAATTCAACCTAATTAGGCTGGAAGGCACCTTTCCTTAATAGTTAAATGAGAATTACTTATGTAATTATAACTAAGATCTAAATAAAAAAGTTATGGTAGATTTAGAGGTGTATCAATAGTATCAATTGAATTATCTCTTAATATGAGTTTTTAAAGGTGTTAAATTAAATTGACTTGATTTGGGATAGTCTGAAATCTATTTCCACTTAAATCAAGAATAAGTAATTTAGTTGGAATTTCATTTGGCCATGTATTGATATTCTTATTACGTAAAATAAGAGTTTAGTCATTATCAGTGATATCTTTGTCTTTGAGAAATAAAGGTATATGAGTGAATTATGTTTTCATTAATTAAATAGAAAGTTTAATAAACTAATTGTATGTAATGTAACTATGATTTTTAATACTCAAAATAATAATCAATTTAGATAATTTCAGAATATGTGATGATTAGTATAATGTTATAAAGAAATAGTAGAATTAGAAGGAAATGAATTTGATTATAATATGAATAATTGAGTTATTTGAATATAAAATAATTAATTATGACTATAGTTGGATTATTTGACGAGATTGCTATGCATATTAATCAACTAAATGTAGTTGGAGTACAAGCTGATTAATTTAAATTGCTTGTGCATTTTGTAATGATTTAATAGTATGTATTTAGTTGCTTGTTTTTCCATTGGGAATTATATTACGATACTTGAAAAGTCCGATTATAAGAAAAATATATACATTATTTTGGGGACTATTCTTTATGTTGTACTTGGGAGCTTAATGGATAGAGTTGGTTATGGCATAGACACTTGTCATATATTTTTTGAGATTACTGAGAAGACCATTCATCCCCATAGCATCAATCAGCTTTCTCGTTTTAGGCTACTTACATTACGACCGCATCATGGTTAATGGCAAACTATCAGTAGAACGCAGACTCGTCTTGGAAGATGGGATTTAACGTAGTACAGATGATGTTGACATGTCGATTCGTATACGTGGGAGTTGCTGCTTAAGATCGAATATCCTTTACATTTCTCGATTATATGAGTTATGTATTCTATTTCCCTAACATCATTGTTGGCACAGTTCCTTTTACAGCCTATATTGATTTTATCAATTTAAAAGGAGTCTATTCAAACATGGGTTATAGTTTTTAAATGGCTTACAAATCCCTTTTAAAAGCTATTTTGTTTGTAGCAGGTATGAATATAAATAATATTGATTAGCTGATCAACTAATTAGACCAAAGTTCAGTTTTGCTTATTTTAGTACTTAGTAATGGGAAGAGCATTCCCTTTTGACTCGTCATATTATATGTTAATTAATTTCATGTTGCGAGAGGTTTAAATACTTTCTTGCATTTAACTTCTCTTAAGCATCAATGGATGCAGGAGGAATAACTTATGATGGATAAGGTATATATCTTATGATAGATAATAAAATTAGAATTTTGTAATTATCGTTTGGCTAATTATAAATTTGAGATAGAATTTTCACCTATAAAAAGAACAAAACATTGGAATTCAAGTGTTTAAGCATGGTTGCAAACATGTTTTTATGATAGATACAAGTAACACAAATCAGCTTTGCTTCTTACTTTTGTTTTAAGTGCTTATTGGTATAATTATTATTATTATATTATAAAGGCATGGATTCTTTATTGCTTATTATGTATTTTTTATAGAATGGGCAATTTTTAATGAAATTACAAAATAAGTTTATAGAGCAAAAGATAAATTCAAATTGTATATACTAATATATTATGTTATAAGTATTCCAATACCAATTCAAAAAGTCATTTGTGCTATTTATGGTTAATTGGCTGTAAATTCAACTGCAACACCAATAGGATTATTAAAATGGGATAAAGTATATAAAGCAATGAATGATCTTGGATGGGTTGCTTAAATAGTCATGATTGTAGTTTGGGGATTTTTTAAGATTACCAAATTTGGATAAAGTAAAAGGAAAGAGTAATGAGAATACAAATTTATAGATATTAAATTTAATTTATTGAATGTCTCGTATATTCGAACGAGTAGATAGAGAGACATTGTTAAGAGATGAATAATTAATAGATGTATTACGCAAGATTAGGGAAAAAGTATTATCAGGACATATCGTAGAGCTGAAGACACTAAGTAGTGAAGTAAGGCCTCACAATGTCAAAATAGATAGACAGAATGTCTCGAGATGAAAAACAATTAGTTCCCATTACTGGTAGAACAGAACTAGATGGACTAATCACAAACTCAGAGCGAGAGAATGGTGCATTTCTTGATTAATCTTTTTCTAAGAAGATTTAAGGTCCCCTTAATACGCTGGCTTAATTAAATTAGCATTAATACTCTCAAAGTGAATCTGATTTCTCTCATCAATCATTTTATAGTGATGAAGAACCATGGAATATTGATTATATCACTAATAATCTAGACTCTGTAGAACGAGGTTTGAATTGCGATAATTCCTCTAGTGTCGTTATTGCTCTTAAAGCATTATTTGAACAAATCCGATTATTATTAATCAAGAATGTTAGTAGAAAATAATTTCTATACAAATATACTGTATTAGCATTACGTTCATTATACATCTTAGGAAATGCAATGAAACTTTAAGGTGATTATTAACATGCAATTTTATATTATGAAAATTGCTTAACTAAGTTTAATATTAATGAACCAACTTTTAAGGGCAAACTATTAATTGAAGCAGGTAAAGTTTGTTTCATTTCAAAAAACTTTTAGAAATGTTAACAATACTTTTATGATGCATTATTACATTATGAATAACTTAATTGGCGTCTTGACATTGCCTATGTTCTAACATAGTTATCAAGATTAAATGGATGGTTGAGTAATAATATGTGCAATAATTTAAGAAAATCCGGATGCAGCCAGTAAATTGTGTTATGAAAGCTTAGCTATATATCGAGATTATCTACCTGAAGAGGATGAACGTATTGCTGATACATATTTCATATTAGCTGAATTAGCATATCTACGTAAAGATTATGATGCAGCATTTTAATTTGCTGAATAATCTATTCAAATTTATGAAATCAATAATAATAAAGAAATTAATACAAATAAAGAATCAAATGGTACTCCTTAAGAATTAAAACCATAATTATCTCTTGTCTATAATTTATTAGGTATATTATATGCTAATACAAATGATTACAAATAAGCATAAAAATATTTTCATGATGCTTTTTAATGTGTAAAATAGGAATCATTAAAAGCAGCATAAATATTAATGAATTGGGGAATTATGTAAGCATTAGAATGTAATTCTGAATTGGCATAAAAAGGAATTTTGAAAGCTAAATAAATATCTTAAGCATTCTAAAACAAAAGTGATTTGTCCCATAGATTAGAAAGGAATTACTAAGAATTATTATAATGACTTTACTCTAATTTTTGTTTAATTTTATATTTTTTGTTTTACTATGGATGATGAATTAGCTTTTTCTAATCTTCAAAATGGTATTAATTCTTATTCTCATAATATTTAAGCCATTGAAAATATGAAAAGAGAACGAGATGAACTATTATAAGAATATCAAAAAGAGAAAACAGATTTTTAAGCATTTGATGCATAAATTCGAAAGATGTAAATGGAATTAGACTTAAGAGTTACAATATTAAAAGATAAAGAATCTAAATTAGCTAATTACAATAAGATGATAGAAGAAACAGATATAACATATCAAAGAGTAAATATATTAACTATAATATTAAATAGATTGTTGAAACATCTAACAGATTAGCAGCTAATTTAGAAAAAGAGACATAATTCATTAAAGATCGTTTCAAGCGACAATAATAAATTTGAATTTATTATAGATTATAAACTAACTTAATCCAACTTCTTTTATTTTAATATAATCACATCTATTTTAACATATGTATTTCAATTCTAATTCAAATAAATAAGAAAATTATTCTATAATATAAAAATCAACAAATATAATACATTATAAGAATACATTTCATTACTAAAATTATATGTATAATCTAATATATATAATATTATTACAAATCATTAGAATAGTTAATTACAAAGTTATACAAATATATTAATTAAATGTAATAATAATATTAGGATGCTGAGTATTTTAGAAAAAAAGATGAATATCGTTTGAGATCATTTAAAAGACTTAAAGATTAAATTGAAAATAAATGTAATATTGTTAAAGGAAGAAGTAGAGAGATTACAGTCAAAAAAAAACTGAAACCTTATAAATCATTAGAAACTAAATTTTAAGAACACTCAGATACATTTCGTACACGTTTTGTAAATTCTTAATTATCAAATATTATTAATGAAGTTAGTCATACTTGTGAGGATATTGTATCAAGTATATCAAGAATTAAAAAAGAGGATAGATAACGTAATCGTGACATTTAAGCTTTACTCAAAAAAATAGATAATCCTTCTGAACTCAATATAACAAGATGGCAAACTGATAATAAATATATAGAAATAAAAGAAGAATTGATTAAAATGTAATAAGATTCAGGATTACCAGATTATTGCAAATTTTGTTTAATAAATAGTAAAGATTCAATGAAAAGAATGAATAGATCTAATTAAGAGATAAAAGAAACAAGACTATTATTTTAAATGAAAGATAAATTAACACCTAATCAATTGAAAAAGTATATGGAACAATTATTAAAGAAATATTAAAGAATTCAATAAAATTAAGAATTAGAACCTAATGGAGTAGGATGGAAATTAAAAACTAAATTATAACCATATTAAAGTAGTGATGATTGGATTGTTATTCGAGAACATATGTTAGAAAAGAAAGAACCATCTATGTAAGATAAAATAAAGAAAGCTGAGAAAACATTTAAAAGATAATTACATGAATAAAATTATAGAGATGCAGCATTTAAATAATTGAAATCATAGAATGAAGCAATTTTATAATTTGAGAAAAGAGTATTTAAAACAGAACCAGAAGAAGATTTAAAAGAATAATTTTAAAGTAAATTATAAGATGCTAAATGGTTTTATGAAGAAAATGCAAAAAAGATTGATAATTGTAAAACAGATTTAAAATAATAATTATACTAAATTAAACGAGTACATGATAGAATTTATAAAAATGAAAACAATTATCTAAATAGAGTACTATCTTCGTGAAATTAATATAGTCAATATTTATATAGATATTTTTGATTAATATATATATATACATTATAATTATTATTAAAATATAAAAATAATTTTTATTATTCAATTATTAATTAATTAATTTATTATAATATAATGTAATAATAATGCAAAAATTAGACAGATAAATTTATTCATTTGATTAGAAACATTCATAGTAGAACAATTAAATCATTTAATATGTTTTTAAATTGATTTAATCTATTTGTATAAATCTGTGTAAATTTCTAGATTTTCTTAATGTAATTAATCTATGCTTTCTACTATTGTTTAAATATTTTCATTTGGATTGTTATATCTAAGATTACTTGAAATTGTAGGTTAAGCAACTCTTTATACAATTTTCTTATCTTTATCAGATAATTAAAATTTTAGTGAAAATGTATCAGTTTCTTAAAATTGCAATTTTAATGATTCCATAAAAATTCTATCTCTCATTTTTTTTTCTTCCATTCTTATCATTAAAAAATGTTCAGCTTCATTAAGTTCTTTACCTAATTTTCTTACTATTAAATTATCTCTTGTCATTTATATTGCATCCATTAATCTATTCATATTTCGATCACTCCATAGATCTACAACTCCCATTGAACCATCATTAGCAACTTCACCAAATGCATCTTTTACTTTTTTAATTAAAGGTTAGAGATAGTAATTATTTTTCTTTTCATGAGTTCTAAATCCAAATTTTAAAAAGGTTAGTCTTTTATTTTTTGATTTTTTGTTTGCTTTACCATATGTTTAATCTCTTCTCATTTATATTTCTGTTTTTGGTAATTCTCGAACTTGTTTATAAGTTAATAGACCTCTTAGATGACCAAGTGCAAAACTTGATTTAACATTTTCTTTAAGAATATCTATATTTGGTAAGAGTGAAGGTTCACTTTTTTGTTTATGTTTGAATGATTAAGAAGTCTAAGACAATTATTTCATTATAAATAAAAATGAATATCAGCATAATTTTATTGATGGGTTAGTTATTATTGAAAAACATTGTGAATATTATAGAGAGAGGTAGTCAAGATGAAAAAGATGCTATTGCATTAGGATTGAATTCATGTGCATCAGTTTCAATACTTATATGCTATTTTATGATTTATCATCTTGGAAAGTAGAAATTCATTATTCACCTACTAATTTAAACAATTATTGTAATACATTATGAGATAGCATTTTATGAAAGTAATACTATTTCAGCATAAAGTGCAATAATTTACATGATGTAAATTTAACTCTATCTTTAAAAACGCAATGGTCTCTTTGACTACTTAAGCCATTGTGCACTAATCTATGCTATTCTTAGATTTCTTATAAGAGAATTCACAAATTTATTAGTTTCAGAAATACTTCTTATGTTCTTATGGTAACCACTAAATCATTATTTATTATATCTACAAAAATCAAAGAAACCATAAAAGAAAGAAGATATTACAACCTAAGTACATTTTTAGACAATTTCATCACCCTAAGTTTAACATACATAAGGTTTAGATGAGATAGTAACAAAAACTAATATGAGTGAAGACTTTTTTGATTATATACCAGAAGGATTAGTAATTCTTGATGAATACTTTAATATAATTAAACATAATTCTAAGATTCTGTAATATTTATAAATAAAAGATCCTTAAATAATTCCATCATCTTTAGATAGTTTACTCAAAATGTAATTTTATTATCATAATTAAGAGCATAAAAAAATAAAGTTCCAATGAAAGAAAAAGATAGGAAAAGACCTTTACATTTAAAATCTATGAAATAAAATAGTGAAATGAATTTCAGTTATACTGGTTCTTTAGCTTCTTCTTTAAAAAAGTAATTTTGGACATCTGATAGATAATAATTAAATTACAGTTTTTAAAAAGGAGATTCTATGATTTATCCATCTTTATAAACTATAATCAATGAATTTAAATTAAAGAATTTGAATGATAATATAACAATCAATTCAGAATAATGTGGTATAGTTAAATATTAGATTACTTAAGAATCCTCTATTAAATACAAATATATATCAATTAAAATTTATGAAATTAAAATGCCAACAAATTCTAAATCAACTTTCTTTTTATTTATTGTAGAAAATATCACTAATAAAGAATAATTAAAATAATTAACTAATAGATTTATTTTTCAATAATAATTATTAAATTCATTTAGTCATGAATTAAGAACACCTCTTAATTGTACTCTATCATTATTATAAGCTTTAAAAAGTAAATTAAAAAATGATGAAATTAATAATGATTTTTTAAATCCAGCTATTGTAACTAGTCATCGTTTATTATATTAAATTAATGATATATTAGATTATGCTTAAATTGAATGTTAAGATTTTAAAATTAATATTTGTGAATTTAGTGTTAGTGATATATTTTAAACCTTAAAAGATTTTTTCATATAAGAATGTGCTCAAAAATAAATTTAAATGATAATAGAAATTGATTGTCTAATTGTTATTAGAAATGATAAAGAAAGAATAACTTAAGTTTTAATTAATTTAATAAGTAATTCAATTAAATTTACACCTTAAGGTGGTAGGATTGTTGTAAATGTTTAAAAAAGAGATAATTTATATTAATTTACAGTTTGGGATAATGGAAAAGGAATATCTTATTAAACTATGTCTAATATTTTTTAATAACCAAATAGTATGGTTTCAAGCAATAGAGTCACTGATAATTAATTTTAATCAAATAAATTAGGAATTGGTTTGAAAGTAAGTAGAGGTATAGTTAAACATTTGAGTACAAATGGTGATTTAATAATCAAAAGTTAATCTGGATGTTACACTTCAATTAATTTCTTTGTTGAAGATAAATTTATGAAAATTGATGAAGATATTTCTGAATAAGAAACTCTTATGAAATTAGCAAGCAAAAATACTTTAAAAAAATGTGTCTGTCCATAAATATTAATTGTAGATGATATACCTTTTAATCATATTGCATTGATAGCAATACTCAATAATTTTAATATTTTATCAGAAAGTGCATATGATGGAGATTAGGCAATTGAAAAAGTAAATGATAGAATTAAAAATTCTTAATGTTGTAAATCTTACCGCATTATTTTTATGGATTTAGAAATGCCAGGTAAAAATGGATTCCAAACATCCTCTGAAGTAAGATTCAATTGATTTATAGATAGTGGCAATCCTGAAAAAAGTAAATGCCCAATCAGTCATAGTCATGCATTCAGCTTACACAGGCGAAGAAAATGTTGAATAGGGCCGACTATGTGGAATGAAAGAATTCATACCTAAACCTATATCACTTAATACATTGTAAAATTTACTCAATAAGTACTTTTCCTAATAAGCTTGATATATTATGAAAATATTAAAAATTATAAATTTTTTATTATACAGTTCCATATTTGAATTTTTGTACTTGATATTTCATCTTAGTTATTATTCCCAAAAGATATTATTGAAAAACGTTCTTTGTGGTTGAGGATGTGCATTTACGAATATTGCCTCAGCCTCAACTGTACGTTGGACTATCCTTTTATTTATTATAAACCAAAGATAGTACTCCCTTACTAACCCCAAACCCATAATTTTTCATTTTAGGTTCTGTTATATCTGAAATTGGAATGAATTCAGGAAGAATATATTAATTTTTAGTTAAAACCTATATCTCTCTTTTTGAATCATATTCATATATTAAATTATACTCTATTTATTTATATATTTAACACTAACACTAAGTTACTTTTAACATAAAAAAGTAATAATTTTTATAAATATACAAGAAAAATTTTGAAATAATTTTCTTTATTTATCAATTGTATTAAATTTCATATGTGATAAAGGCTTGCTTACTTGTGTCCCATAATACAAAATTTTAGCCATTATCTGATATAGCTCCACTTATAATAGCACCATTACGGCTTAATCTTTCTGCTACTTTAAATGTTCCATTATTAAGTTTTTAAATGATATAAACATGAGTTTTACGTATAACTAATATTAAGTTTTTTTCTCTGATGTATTAAATTGGAGTTTAACATTTATCTTCAGCATTAATTTTTGTTAATTAAATTTGCTTATCTAAATCTTCTTAGAAAAATCCATCCTAAACTTCAAATACACAAATACTATCAATCATTTTTGGTATCCAAATAAATTAATCATCAGATAAAAATTTTAATCTATTACCTGTTTATGTGATACTTGCTGGTTTAACAGCATATTTGAAAATCCATTAATCAGATTCTCCTTTTTACCATATATTAATTGCATCATTACAAACAGCTAATGTATTTTCTGAAGGACTTAAGCTTAATGATATTATTCTTTAAGAATCTTTCGAGTGCTTTAATTGTTCTTAAAAAGTTAATTCATTTTAATCCCATTCTAATTTCCAAATTTATATTGATCCAGTAGAATCTCCACAAAATAGAACAGTTTCATCTTAATTTAATTCTGCACAATATAAGTATGGTAGAAATCCATCTCTAGAAGGAATACCTACAGGTTATGAAGATTTCCATTCATTTTATGGTGTTAATTTCCAGCATAATAATTTAGTTTAATATGAAATAAATCTTGTTTACTTTTTGCTAAAAATTAATCCTTAGATATTATCTCGATCTCCTGTTTAAAGTGTTGATTTTAATTTAATTTTACCATTATTATAATTCCATATTAGAATTTTTGCTTTTTCAAATTAATCAGTTGAGCATGTTAATAAGAGCTATGCTTTTGAGTCAAATGTAATTTAAGGGCAAATTTTTTTTTATTCCTATGAATCATCAATAAATTTTAATTTGATCTAAGTTATCTCCTGCTTTTAAGTTATCTCCTGCTTTTAAGACATCTCCTGCTATAAAGGCTCAAAATTCTAGTTATTCCCTAACTCTGTTGTTAGTGCTTATGAGGAATTTATTGTATTACTCTGTTGTTATATTATTTTACTTGAATTTTGTTTAAATGTATCTTCTTTTAGAATTTTTTTCAAACATTCTTCACATTTAGAATATTCTTAAAATGATTAAAATAGCTCTAATTTTGGAATCAATTTCGAACCCCATGAATAGTTAATTTTGTCTATATCTGCATAAGCAATTTATTAATCATCCCCCTTTGGATTCTAAATTAAATCATCTAATTCTTTGAAAAAGCTGTATGCCTAATTGGTTTATTACCCTAGATTATTCAGGTTTTCAATCCATTCATTTGTAAATCTTAACAGTTCATTCAAGTATTGAATAATTGATGATTTTAATTGAATAATTTCTGATTGAAAATATTCAACTGATTTTATTATAGAAATTATTTAACTTTCTGTTTTCTCTTTAGTCTTTTTCTTGTTATCTTCAATCATTTGAATTACTTTCTTGAATCCAATGGTTCTTGCATCAGAATCAAAAGTGTCCAAGCATTCTGAACATAATAACCTTTCATTTTTCTGTAATTTTGAGTCAAAAACAACCATTTAGACAGGGAGATCATGGTTTTTGGAGCATCTTAGTTCCATATTAGATTCTAACATTTATAAAATCGAATAATTTTTATATAAATTCAGATTTAAGTTGTATTTCTATTACGATTATATTAGGAAATTGAAATAAAAAAATAATATGAAAACATTTCCAATTATCTTTTTGAGATCAAAAGTCATTGGTTATTTGTTTAAATATATATTTCTTATGATATGGTAAGGTAAGGGTAATTATGATACAAAATTTTAATAGTTTGTTGAAATCTCAAGTTTTGATATTAAAGCAAAACCATTGTTCACTTTCTATATAATCTTATTAAAATATAGTGTTTACTTCAAAGATTTGCAGTCTTCTTTCACCTAAAGTTTATTATTCACATTCATTTTATCTTGGCTTGGCTTAAATTTCAATTTTGATTTAATTACCTCTATGACGTTTCTGTGATTTAATTTCTCCTTAAAATGCTAATTAGAAATTGAAAGTCTTTTCTTTTGATAAATTTTAGTAATATAATTATATTTTATATTTAAACTACAGAGATAAGAATATCTAAATATTTTAATATAATATTAAGATTTATTTTTCAATACTACAAGTTCTGTATGAGATGGATTAAGAGGCCTGACCTGCTCTTTTTCTTTACACTCATATAAAATGGATGTTTATTGGAAATTTGATATTTTCTAACAAAAATTTCATCTTGGTTATGCCTTCTTCATAAGAAGCCAAAGGAAAATCGTTTTAATCCTATTCATCCATTAGACTATTAGCTTTAATTTGAAGAATATATTTTCCTTTCTACAATCTTCCATTTATAATATAAGACATTTTTTGGGTCTTTAATTTAGAAATCTGAAATTAAATTAAAATTTTAATGTCATTAATAATTTATTTAGAATTGATGAAAAACATAAAATATTCATTGAATTGTAATTGTATCTATATCAATCTTATTTTTTAATGGTTAAATGAAATTATACTTACTCATTTTAGGTAGTATTAAACATATTCAAATTATCAATATCTTAAATCTTTTGATGATTATTTTAACATTCTTTATGATTTTAATAGTAAAGAAATTTATATATTTTATTATATTTTGGCAGAAAAATTTAATTCTCCATCTTTTTTAATGTCTACAAATATATGTGCTGATTTCTTTTTTGGTATTAAATTGTCATTTAGCCAAATTTTAAATAATGATTACAAAATCCTAGAGCGAAATCTATATGCAATTATTTAATATCTTTGATTATATAAATATCTTTAAATTAAAAATTTAATATAAAGTATAGATTTTTGATATTTATAAAAAGGTTTATAAAAGGGTGAATAATCTGAAAAAAAAACTATATTCATCAAAGAATTCTTCTTAATTTCCCTTAAATAGGTAAATTCTCCACTAATTTCTTAAATATTTCTTAGGTAATTCCAACTCTACTATCAAAATCTCTTAATATTTTTTAATAACATCCCTCAACTTCTTTATTGATGATATTCTTACTAAATTTTTTAATTAATGATTAAAAATTTTATAGAGTGAGTACTTTAGTACCTAATGTAACTATTATTTCTGTAGTTATTCTTAATTGAATAGCTTATGATACTTCTACTGCACTCATAATATATATTATAATATAAAAAACAACTTTATTATGAATCAAATATATCAATTTTCATCTTAATCTGCTTAACTAGTGCTTTCTTAATTTTTAACAATATCATTAGTTTCTTTTTAACTATTTATCTCATTAATTTCACTTTCATTATTACTTTCTTTTTTTAAAATCTAGCTATTATTATTTTTATCCACTTGATCAAATTGTTTTGGAATAATATCATTGGCTTAATTATCAATAGGTATTATTTTCTTCTCTGATGGCTATTATTCCTCTGTTGGCATTTCAATATCTTCTTAAATTGTGTCTTGTTTCTTTGCTCTACTATATATCATAAAACGGCGTTCTCTTTAACTAATAAAACCTTAAGACACTCTTTATTATTAATCTAAACTATTTGATCTGGAATTCCTTTGACTTCTCATTTACTTTTGCTAATTAATCTTTAATTGTTCATTTAAAGCTTACTACTCAAGATGCTTTGCACTTTTTAGATCAATCTTCAATTACAAAGGAGGCATCAATTTTCTTCCAGGATCAAATAACTTATGTAACATATAATATGACATGGTCTTCTTCTCTATCATTTACACCTATGTGAATTGTGAGAGAGAGATCTTACTTCTCTGAAGAACTCAAATATCTCAATATTTGAGGCCCTAGAGTTGGTATCCAATAAAGCAGAAAGAGAATTAATCAATTATCTTTGAAATTGTCTTAATTCACTATAAAGATTGCTAGCTAATTTCTTCAAGAGAAAATCATGTGGAAAATTTGATAAGGACGTTTTCAGTTAGGGCACAAGAGATAAACCTTAATTAACTAAGTTTTCTAATTTAAAACATTCAACTACAAGACTTAAATAACTTAAGACATAATACTTTGATTAATGTATTGGTTTTCTAAATTGATGATTTCTATAACTCTTTATTTCATATACATTCAATGCCAATTTTTACAAATATTACAGAAATGGTATCTAAAGATTTTCCAGTAACCATACTTCATTTGTCACTTACTTAAAAACAAATGTATCTGGTTTTTATGAAGGTCTGCTACTATTCAATCATTCATACTTATTAAAATATGCAAAATTTATTTTAATGAATTATGAGGCAAATTCATCACTTATATTGAGTACTTGATGAATTGTTATAAGCATTTTCATTTTTATTGTATAAAGTTGACAGTTATCTTCTTAATACACCTAAAAAAATTCGATTATATTTTAATCATCAGTTAAGAATGGCACTAAAATTTCTACATCTTCTTGTTTATATACAAAATTATCTTTTGTTAAACTAGATTTTGTAAGAAATTATTGGAATTCACTTTGAACCTAAAATAGTTTCTTGAATCTCTTAATCATTTATATTAAAATAATTGTTATTTATTATTAATACACAATAATCAATAATATTCTTAATTATTATCACAACTAATAAACAGACAAATATCGAAATAATATATATTATATATATATATTAATACAATAATGAAGATTTTTATAGCAGCAACCATCATTTTTATTTTATGTCTAATCCTTGATGTAATATATGATCAACAATTATGGGATGTTAATACAAGAATTACTAAATATATGTAAAAATAGCAAACCCCTGGGTTGTAAAGTATGTTTAATTTCTTTTCTAATTGGATAAACATTTTTCCTGGAATAGCTTTATTAATGTTTATATTTACAGAAAATAAATTGGCATCCATCATATATATGTGCTTAATATAATTTACAATTTCATTTAACTCAATTCTTAAAAATGTATATCATTAACCAAGACCTTATTGGATTGAATCTGACATTGTGGCATTGTCTTGCAATAAAGAGTTTGGTAAACCATCAGGACATGCTATGGGATCATTGATGATGTCTTTTTTATTGCCTTTGATGGTTCTGCCTAATACCTTTTACAAAAAGCCAAAGCTAATTAAAAGTATAATCATATGTTTTGCTTCTATATGGACTTTTATGACTGCATTATCTCGTATTTATTTAGGNTGATAAGGACGTTTTCAGTTAGGGCACAAGAGATAAACCTTAATTAACTAAGTTTTCTAATTTAAAACATTCAACTACAAGACTTAAATAACTTAAGACATAATACTTTGATTAATGTATTGGTTTTCTAAATTGATGATTTCTATAACTCTTTATTTCATATACATTCAATGCCAATTTTTACAAATATTACAGAAATGGTATCTAAAGATTTTCCAGTAACCATACTTCATTTGTCACTTACTTAAAAACAAATGTATCTGGTTTTTATGAAGGTCTGCTACTATTCAATCATTCATACTTATTAAAATATGCAAAATTTATTTTAATGAATTATGAGGCAAATTCATCACTTATATTGAGTACTTGATGAATTGTTATAAGCATTTTCATTTTTATTGTATAAAGTTGACAGTTATCTTCTTAATACACCTAAAAAAATTCGATTATATTTTAATCATCAGTTAAGAATGGCACTAAAATTTCTACATCTTCTTGTTTATATACAAAATTATCTTTTGTTAAACTAGATTTTGTAAGAAATTATTGGAATTCACTTTGAACCTAAAATAGTTTCTTGAATCTCTTAATCATTTATATTAAAATAATTGTTATTTATTATTAATACACAATAATCAATAATATTCTTAATTATTATCACAACTAATAAACAGACAAATATCGAAATAATATATATTATATATATATATTAATACAATAATGAAGATTTTTATAGCAGCAACCATCATTTTTATTTTATGTCTAATCCTTGATGTAATATATGATCAACAATTATGGGATGTTAATACAAGAATTACTAAATATATGTAAAAATAGCAAACCCCTGGGTTGTAAAGTATGTTTAATTTCTTTTCTAATTGGATAAACATTTTTCCTGGAATAGCTTTATTAATGTTTATATTTACAGAAAATAAATTGGCATCCATCATATATATGTGCTTAATATAATTTACAATTTCATTTAACTCAATTCTTAAAAATGTATATCATTAACCAAGACCTTATTGGATTGAATCTGACATTGTGGCATTGTCTTGCAATAAAGAGTTTGGTAAACCATCAGGACATGCTATGGGATCATTGATGATGTCTTTTTTATTGCCTTTGATGGTTCTGCCTAATACCTTTTACAAAAAGCCAAAGCTAATTAAAAGTATAATCATATGTTTTGCTTCTATATGGACTTTTATGACTGCATTATCTCGTATTTATTTAGGAATGCATAGTATAGGATAGATACTTTTGGGTTGGATATATTCAAGTTATTTTATTTTAATTTATCTTTTATATATGCATTAACCTATAATAGAATATTTCAAAAATAGATTGTCTTCTATTGATAGATCTATATCTTGGAAATTAGTTTTGATAGTTGGTTTATCTACTTTAATTTGGATATCTATTTCATTATTATTTTGCTTTTTGAATGAGAAGAATATTTACTTAGATTAAACAAAACTTACATTATGGGTAAATGCAATTTACATTAAATGTCCAGATTAAACTGAAATTCTTTAAATAAATAGTTCTTAAGTGTTTCAAAATTATTGTCTGAATAAAAGTTTTGAAATAACTTTTATTTTTTTTATAATTTTGGGAATCAAACTTAGTAATGGAAAATATAAAGAAGAAGAATTTATTCTAAATTATTTACAATTGAATTGGAAATAAAAGTGTTTTCGTTTTTTATTATTGATAATACCATTATCAACTGTGAAATTTTTAGATTTTATAAACAGTGATAATGTTTGGGTGATGATTTTCGGTTATGTATATAATAGTATTTAAGAAAGACTATACCTTGGAATGCGTTTTGTGGATTAATCCTTACTTTTGGATATTCAAAATTATTAAAATATTTTAATTTAAATATTGAAGGTGATTTTCTCAATATTGATTAAAATACGAGTATTTATGTAAATTTTTGAATTGATGATTAGCTTTATAATGAATATAATAATAATAAATATAGATTTTTTGCTTCAATTTCTTTTACTGTTACAAAACAGATTATTATTACTAATTATATAGTTTATTGGAACAGGATTTAATTCTGCCATATCTTTCTCAATACTAAGATCATCATTCTTTCTAACAAGTACTCTTTTCTTCTTAAATTTCATCATTTATAGATATTCATAATTTTATAGATTAAAAAAGCATGTTTAGAATAGAATTTTTTCTTTTTTTGAAAAGCAACTATAGAGCCATTGATATAGTTAATTTTATGAAGAAAATAAATGAGATGCATAATTATTTATGTCATAGACTAAATTTGTACTTAGTCTGGTTCTAAGATCTGATATTAGAGATAAATCAGTAATTAATAGATCCCTATTTAAATTATAGGATGAACATATTATTTTTTATCTGGATACTATATTTAAAGCTTTAGATATTTCCATTTCAATTTATGCATTTAATATAGTTTAAACATATTTGAAATATTTATCTATGATAGTTTGATTATGATTTACTTCTATTTTCTGTTTTTAATGATTTAAATTGATATTCATTTAATATTAATTATTCATCTTAGCCAATTCTAGATTTTAATTCAACATTTTTTTATTTGAATTTTAATTTTAATAAAGATAATTAATTTTTATATTTAAGTCTTTCAGCCACACTAATTTATTCATATTATAGAATATTTTCTATTTTTTTAATTGCTGTATCAATATTACCACTTCTTAATAATTTTTGAATATCAGGATAATGATCAGAAAACTCTTGTAATGATAATTAATCAATATTCTATTAAACAGAAGTATTTGATTCTTTTTGTAAATTTAATTATTTTTTAAATATTGGAGCAGATTCTGCAACTGTTTCTCTTACACTACATTCACTTCCTACTTAGAGACTAAAATCATTATAACTTTCCATTGATTAGATATCTTCAATTTCTTCTTAGTCTGCATATTTCTAGATCATATTATGATGTCTTTAAACAATATTCTTTTCAATTTAATGTCTCATCTAATAAACATTTCTAATTATTTTTGTTAATTTACTTTTCTTATTGTTCTAATAAAGATTTCTCTTTGATTACATTATTTAAAATATATCTTTTTTCTAATTTTCTAATATTCTTTAAAGCTACTAAACTTTAAGTAGCCAAATTTTTAGGTAATTTGTTATATTTACTTATAGAGAAAAAGTCTGCATTAATAGAAATTAAGAATTCTAAGATTTCAACATTTCCAACAATTACAGCTATATGACATAAACTATAACCTGTAATACTTGATTAATGATAAAAATCAAAGAATCTTTTATTAACAATATCAACATTTTTAGACATATTAAAATCATTTCCAAATTTAAGTCCTTTTATTTATTATTTCTTAATTGCCATATCAAGTGGTGTATAACCTTCATAATTTTCAGCATTTGGATCTGCTCCATATTATAATAAAATTTCAGCAAATTCTGAACTTTATTCATGTTTATCAAAATTCATCATTAATTAATGTAATGGTGTATTACCATCTATATTTCTCATCATAACTAAGGATTCATCATTTATATAATGTTATATATGTGTCTTTTATTATTATATATTTTCCTTTATTCCTAATAGAAACTTTAAATTTGACACATCAGCTCTTTGACTCATACAATGAATAGTATTCAATGAAAATCTACCACCAAAAGCCTTTAATATACTCACTGATCTTTATTATTATGAAAACTAACCTCATTTTGCATTCCATATAACAAACTGACAAAGGTGTATTATTATCAAAATCAGTTTTATTTATATCCTAAGGTATAATCTAATTTAAACAATACAACACTCCTATTTCATCATTCATACCTGCTTAACAAAATAAGTTTCTCTCTTTATAATCAGTACTACTAAAATTTTATTCATTTTAACTCAACAATTAAATAAATTCTTAAAAATTCAATATTTATTTTGATAATGCATTTATTAATTTCTCTTAAACCCATGGATATTTTTTAAAATTCAATTTAAATGGCAATGGAGGTTTACAATACTTAAACCAATCAAATTCTAATTAATTCATTTTTCTTAATGTTTTATAAAATTATTTTGGTAATTGAGTAATTGGATTCATCTAAATACAAAGTATATCCAATTCATATAAATAAGGTTGTTTAATATAATTACAAGCAAGATTAAGTTATCTTAAACATTTCATTTTAACTTGATAATTTTATAATTAATTTTAAGATAAATCTAAAACCTCTAAAAAATTTAAGGATTCAATAAAATGTGGTACGTTTACCAACATATTCTAACTCAAATACATCTTTTATAAATTTATCATTTATCTACTTTTATGATTCATTTTACTTCACATCTTCTGGAATTTAATAAAGTTTGCATCTAGATAAATCAAGAAGCTTAATATTGATAAATTTATTCTAATCTAATGAAGTACTAATTAAACCCTTTCCTTATACTTCTAATTTCTCTTCAGTAAATATGAACTCTTGTATCTAAAATTAAATACTAATTATACTGTTTCAGAAGGTGATTTCATGTCTAGTGGTTCATTCATATTTAAATTCGAAAATTATACTTTATCCTCCAAAGCAAAACAATCCATTTGAAATTGCTTTTTATACTCATCAAATTATGATTCTATATACATATCACTTTATTCATTTTCATCCTGTGATATTTCATAATTCATTTATATATATAAATATAAACTTTTAATTTATGAATAAATAAAATAATTATTTATGAAGACCTATTTCAATATATGATTTAAAGTATTACTTACTTATATACCAATAAAAAACATATCTATAAATAGAATAATAGCTCTTGTTAACGTATTTTTATTTAATCTTATATAATTATTTAAATATATATTGATTGTAATTTTCAGTACACACTTATAACAATTTGTACATTCTAGAACAAATTATATTCAATTATTATATTTGAAAGCATTTTAAATAATATGATTTATTAATTTCAAATGTATTATTTATTTTCTATAACTCTTATCACTCCCTTTGATGTAAGACTTTTATCAACTCAAACTTTAAACACAATCTCATTTCACAAATCCAAATACTCCTCATCATATCAAAATAAGGTATCAATTTTATTTATATAACAATAGACCTTTACCAAGTCCTTAATCAGAAGAAATTGAAACATTTAGTTTGAATGATTCTTGGGACAGCAACATTTCTCCCACAAATAAAAAGACATTTAAAGTTGATAAACCCATATTAGTTATCTAGTATTTGGATTGCAAATTAAGTGACTAATTTTGAACTTTGTATTAATTATTTACAATATTTATATAAACATTAACAAAAAATCAAATTCTTATTATATTTGAACTCTATCTCTTCATCTTCAACATCTTACTTTAATTATTATACACAATAGGTAAAGGATCATAATTAAAAAAAGAAAAATCAAATTTCTTTACAATACCAACCATTGGATTATTATTTTATTCTGTCTTCTAACTTGTACTACGTCTCCTAAAATTTACATTGATTTTTAATTTATTATTGACATTTCTTTGTCTTTAAGCTTTCATATTAGGAAATTATATCGTCTACATGAACAATTTGGGAGGATCAAGTGTAATTGGTTTTTACATCTAAAACCCAGTTCTTATATTTGGAGAGCATTCACAATTAAACGTATTCTATCTGTCCTTAAGTAATTATCTCTCTTAATTAAGGCGATTTATAGCTATCTTAATCTAATCTTGCATATTATAATTGATTATCTAAATTATTCATTCATTCTTATAACTAATATCTTAATTTGATGAAATTTTGTGCAGAATTCGTTTATATTTTACTAATAGAATCATTATATATAAGAAATATATTGTATTTGCTCGATATATATTCGATTTAAAATATTAACTTGTTTCTTTTCAATTATTGTAAATTTGATTCTTAATCAAAATAAGTATTATATCATATTAATTAATTAGAATAAGCATAATGCATAGATTTCCTTAAAAGTTAAATCCTAATGATTTTAGAATAAATCTCAGTATAGATTCATTAAGAGTAAATTAAAGAAATGAAAAAATTTTAGAATTTATAAAAATATTTATATAATTTTTAATATGTAATGAAATATTATTAATATAAAAATATGAAAGTCTATTATTGATGTAAATATTTCATAAGCAATATCTTATTAAGATTTATTCTTTTATAAAATATTCTTTATTTTTAATGCAGAATAAATTGAAATTAATTTCTATTTAATATAAATATATAAATAATATATTTAAAATCATAGAATATCAATAGCATCATGTAAATCTCCTAATCTAACAGCAAAATAAATCAATTTAGATTAATTTAATGTAATTTTTATTATTATGACTTCTCCATCATCAATTGTTATATGCAACTCACTTTAAAAAGGCTTGAACTTCAACTCTACATAACTTCCATTATAAAAGCGTTTGCCACATTTAATTTTTGTCTAATTCTCACAAGTTATATAACCATAAGAGTTGAGAAAATAGCATCCATCTGAATCTTTTTGATATTATTTTTCTTTAACTCTTTTTTAATCACATACTCCAAGAGCCATAGGATATCTAATATTCTAATTTTAACATGATCTGATCAATAATTTTAGATTACTATCTCGAATCAAACCATTACCATATATAGATGGGCCTATCAAAGCTAAATTGCCATCAGTATTTAAAATTTATTTGACCAATTTTCCCTTAATTTAAGCTCCAACACCATGATATTCAGAATGAAATTTATATGTAATTTCTTTCATAGGAGGAGGTGGACTAGGTTCTCCAATAATTTATTTTCCCTATGAATTAGGTCTATAATATTGATTAGATAAAGATTATGTAACAGAAAGTCTGTCTTCAAATTGTTAAGGAGATAAGGGAGATCGATCAAATGATCTCATAGTTCTATAGCCTTCAGTGTTAATTGAATTATTTCTATTTTACCTATAGGTACTACTTGTTCTTGAGGCTTGTACTAATTAAGTATCTGGATTTGAGATTTTCAATGTATCTTTGAAACTTATTAAATTAGTCAAGAATTGATTGATTTATGGTTATTCTTCTTTTAATGACTCAGTTCTTGTAATTAATTATTAAGCTCTTGGATTGTATTCAAGCTTGAGTAATAATTTTTAAATAAGTTAGCCTAACAGTTTTTCTTCATTAATTGATGTTATAAGTTAGTATGAAATAATAACTAAATTTAAGATGCCTACATACTTTTATCAAATTTGACTTGCTATTCAATTAATTCTCGTTGTTTTTATATTGCCTAATTAATTTGTTCTTACAATTTATTTAATTGACCAATTTGCATCTCCAAGTGTTAGGATTAATGAAATGTGTTCTTGATTATGTAAATTATGTAATAATTACTAACATGATTAAAGATTCTTGTTTTTTTATTAGATTAAGTAATTTCTACAGGGGGATCATTTTGTGACCTTTGTGTCTTTCGTCTATACAAACAACGCAATTTAGAACTTCTCCTTTCACTATGCAAGTACTATGAAGACAGACCATCTCCAGATGTTCATCTCATAATGTATGGCAACTCATTACCCTTGTGATAACCACCTTATTAACAGTACATTAAAAATATATATATTATAAACAATCATTTTCCAAATAGTATTTAATGAACACTCTATTTATTTGAAATCAACAATGGAATTTACCTAATTAATTCTATAGCTGCAAAAATAATAGCCATTACTATTAAAATAGCATAAGCTGGTAGAGTGAAAAATAAAATGAATCTCAATACTCCTTAATAACATAGACAACAAGTTATATAAATGTTGATATATTGATATGACTTCAATCCAATATTAAAAATATATAAAAGGGGTATTATAAAAATAGATAAAGTGATTGAAAACAAAGCATTTTTAATTTACTTATGGGATTTTTCTTTTAATACTGTAATTTTAGATAAGTTTTTTGTTTTTCTTAATTTTCTTAATCTATTAATAAACAAAGCAATATCAATTAGTATATACCACTAAAGTAAATATAAATTATAATTTTTGAATGTGTTCTTACCTGAAAAATTTAGTTGTCTTCCCCATCCTTGAAGATATTTTGATGGAAATTTGGATGTTCTTCGTTTTTATTTAAGAAGATAATGGAAGCGAAGACTTAATCTTTTTTTTAAGTATTTCGTTGTTCCTTGACTCAACAAACCTTAAGGATATTCTTGCATTAATTTATTAATAATATATATCATAATAGATCTCTAATTATTTAGGGTTGCTCTTTGTCCTTCACTCATTTCAGTTATATAAAATCAAATCTGTATGAATTTGTTTTTCTGTATTTTGAACTTTTTAAGTAAAAATCATTAATTCTATTTCTTTCTAATTTATATATGTTGTAATCATCTATATTATATTTAGAATAGTTTGATTAGAAGACTTTCAAATATTAATTAAATTATTCTAAATGATTGGTTTGAATTTAAAAGAATAAGATTTTGTATCCATTTCCTTTATTTTCACTATAGAAATGTGAAAAATACTTATAGCATCATGTACTTGATATAAAAAATTAGTATCTTATCATTTTATTTTTGAACAATATATATTAATATTATCTTACAATACTTCTATAATTGTATGGATATTTACAATAAATAAAAACATAATCTTTTAATTACATAAACTAAATATCTTTAAATATTTATCGTGTTTTTAGAGATTGAAAATAATAAAAATAACCTTTTATTTGTTAATTCAAACAAATACTTAATACATACTAATTGATATGAGTTGTTTTCTATTATATGTGTTGGTTTATGTTGTAAGATTGATAAATCAGGTTGATAAATGTCTTAATCATTATAAGTTTTGAAACTGTTATAATTGATTCTATTTTGGGTAACTTATTTTTGAGGCTATCTTAAATTCTTAATCTATATTTTGAATGATATATTAATAATTCTTAATTTACTTCTGTTTTCTTATGATATTTGAAACTCAGAGTATAAGTACATATTCTACTTCAATTATTGATCAATTTTAATTTATTGTGATTTAATAATTGCCATTTAATTTATGTGATACACAGCTATTTTAGGATCATTAAACATACTTTGAATAATTGATTCTCTTAGTATGTTATTTGAGAGTAATTTTTTAAAACTAATCTTAATTTAATGATTTCATGTTATTTATTCTTAATCTGCTCTTATAATTAATGTAATTAAATTTAACAGATTTACATTTTGTATGTAACAAATTATGGTAATCAATCATAAATGATCGACTTATAATTATTATAGATCTATTTCTTTTTATTTGAGATATTTGAGTCTGTAATAAATATAATTAAAGTGAACTTGTTAGAGTATTGTTTTTAATTTGAGATTCTTGAATTTGATTTCATTACTTCTAAACTTTTGATTGAAATTATTTAAGTAAAGAGTTCTTGATCTAAATGAAATAGTTGAAGAGTTTATGAAGGGCTGTTTGTTTTGTGAGTGATCATGTAATAAGAAAAGATGGATGAGGATCGTAAAGTTCTGTTTAAATTTGACGATAATTGATTAAGGACTATGTTTGATAATTTAAGTAAATTATTATATCACTTTTTAGTTGGCTTCTTATCTTTCTTCTTTTAAATGGTTTTTTTGATTGGCTAATTTTGTAAATTAGCTAATGTGTCTTCTAATTGTTTGATTTTAGCATCTTTTTCTTCAATAATTTATTTGAGCCCTTCAATTTGATCCTAATATTCAGCATTCTTGGCCTCCATCTCAGCCACACGATTTCTCAGCTCTTTTAGAAATGAAATTGGTTACATCATCATTCTCTAAATAACACTATTCCTGCAATTACTTACATATTTGATGTGGGTCCATTTATTATTTTTAAATTATATAAAATTCCGGGCAAAAATATTTATATTTGAGAAAACTAAAAAGAATATAAGTAATAAGAATATATAATTCATAGATACTTAAATAAGATTTTTTTAAGTGCTTTCTATTCAACAGGTTTTTATAAGTATGCTGTCATTCCTACTTTTAAACATTCTTGCATCTACTCCTCTGAGTCATACGCCGAACACCCAATAATTGTTGTAGATGCTCCTAATTCAGAACATAAAGTAATAATTGCTTTAGATACTTAAAATCCATTCATAATAGGCATTTCTAAATCCATAAGTATAACCTTATAAAATTCCTGATTATGTTTGATTCTTTCTTTACATTTTTATATTGCTTAATATCCATTTAAAGCCCAATCTACAGCTGTATCTTATATCATACGTGCAATCATTTCAACATTTAATTATACATCATCTACAATTAATATTTTTGGATCTCCAATCGAAACTTTTGTTGATGCTTTAATATTTAAATTCTTTGTTATAATTCTCAATTATTAAGGTTTTTCATCATCAGGAATAAAATAAGAATTTTATTCTGAATTTTCACTTTCTTAATTATGTTCTTATAAATCATGTAATGAAAATGTTTCTTGTACATCACAAATTTATATAGTAAAATAAAATGTAGATCCTTTATTTAATTAAGAATGTAGTTTTAATCCATTTTAAATATCTCCATTAAGATTTTATAATATTTAATTACTGATTAATAATCCTAATCCAACACCTTATGTATTCATTTTTTTACTCTCTTCACTATTACCTTTTGCAAATGCTTTAAATAATTTAATTTTATCATCATCTGAAATACCTATACCTGTATCTATTACAGAAATAGTTATTTTCTTTCTATCTTATCCTTAAGTTACTTCTAATGTAATATTTCCTTTTTAAGTGAATTTAAATGCATTTCCTAATAAATTCATAATTATTTATTTAATTCTATTTGAATCTTATTCTATTATCTTTGGTACATGTGCATTATAATTTAAAGACAAAACTATTTATTATTTTTCAGCAGTAGCAGAAAATAATTCAAGACAACTTTTCATCATATTCTTTAAATTAAACTTTTTTTTAACTGCCTAAAATTTACCTTCTCTAATCTAAGCTAAATCAAGAAGATCATCAGAAAGATTCAACAATTATTTAGCTGTATGTAAAGCAACTTTTACATGTTTATGAATCTCTTTATCTTTCTCACAAAATATAGTTTCTGATCTATTTCTACATTCATCTCTTAAACTCTCATTTAATTAATCTATTATACAATTCAAAGGAGTTCTATATTCATGACTAACAAAAGCCAACATTTTTGATTTCTAATTACTATAATTTTTTAATGATCTAATATAATCTCTATGAGTTATATCTCGTGCAACTATTAAAATGAAAGGACAATCATTTATTAATGTAATATACAACTTAATTTCTATTTATCTACGTTTTTATTTCTCTGATCTAATATATCCCAATACAACAATATGTTCTTATACATGAGTAGTTTTCATTAAATTCTATACTTCTTTTCTTTAAATCTACTTCTTCATAAATTGAATCTCTTATTCAATTACCTAAACAATTATTAAGATCATCTTACACAACAATCAGTAATAAAAGTATCCTATAATTTTAATGTATCTTATTTATGCTATGTTTTGGCTCTTGGTAATGGCATTTCTTTTAATTTCTATTATATAACTGTTCCTGATTATTTATTTTAAGATCTAGCTGCATTTATAAATTAAGTCTTCTATATAGGTACAGGTTGAAATGTTGAAAATGAACTCATTGATTATTTTGGTTATTCTATTGATTATTTCTCTGCTTATTCTACTACCTATTGTTCTTCCAAACTAAATATTGATTATAAAATAGATTATTGATTTCCACCTTAAACAAAAATCTTTTTCATATTTTCATTGCAAAACTAAACATCATCATTTAATGCAACCAGTGCTATCCCCTAAGGAAAAAAACTTAGTAATTCCACTTAATAAGGTTCATTTTTTGGTGTTGGAGGTTAACTATCAGAATGAAAATTACGATCCTTTGATAATCTGTAAGTAGAATGATGATTACTATCCACGAACAAATTTTCTTAATTGAAGTTAAAGTTTCCATTTTATTTAGGATAGTTGATCAATTATGTTAATGTCTTTATGAATATTGATATGCAAGGTAAATATATTTGACTTATTTCATCAGTCTTAAATAAAAATAGCACAAGTATATCTGCTCCTACCGAGAACAATATTATTAACCATTTACTCATGAATTCATTCTCAAATAATAAAGTCTATCCAATTTACATCACACACATGCACGATAACATATTTTTCTAACTACTTAAATACAGAACTGTCATGTATCCCAAATATTGTATGATAAGTACCACTTAAAATTAAGATGCTCCAAAATACTCCCAAGCCATACGAGTAATTTACAATAATAACACCACAAATAAATAGTAGTATTCTTCTGAACCAAAAATACATTGAAGAATCAAAAGCAAACTCATTAAGAGTATTACAAGCTGATTTTTAATTAAGTTCCATAATTTTCCCATATTAATTAATTTTCTCAATTAACTCTCTTCTCTTTGACAACAGTATTTTTATGTCTCACCTATTAATACTATTTTCTACACCAATAACCTTCTGAAATTCTTAAAATTCAAAATCAAAAAATACTACACTTCTATATGTAAAATAACAAATTCACATATATATCAATATAATTAACATATACTTTAATAAAAATTCAGATTCTTTTAACATCTTATATACATAAACGATTACAATTTATAAATTATTCATGTAATCATTAATGTTATAAAATGTATATTATTATGCTGATTTTTGAATAACAAACCATTCTATTAAATGACTTATCATTTATCATATCTTTTACTTAATATCTACTTAAAATATATACTAAATAACTCTGTACTCATCAATTAAATTATTAATCAGAATATTTAAATAAAACAAAATATTTTGCATCATTAAAATTATTAAATAATTAATTTAGTATAAATAATTATTTCTTATAGACTAATAAAATTTATTTGAATTTAAATTTAGATTACATAGTCAAAGAATAGTAGAGATGCTTATTAAATGTCAGAAAATTGAACTTCTATATTTTATATCGATCTTATTAATTTTTAATTTGTTATTATAATCATTCTTAAAAAAATAATTTGATATTCTATACAAATCGTCTAATTAAAGTGTGATTATATATACTATATGAGATAGATATGATTATATTTTTTGAGTTTTAATGAAATATAAAATTAGGCCATTTTTCAATTTCATAATGTCTTTTGAGATCAAGACAGAATTTTTTAGGGATAAACAAAAAATTATATTAGGTAAACATAAAAATTTATCAATATATAATACACTTATTATGTACATTACTTCAAGGTCGTTTTTTTGGAATAATTCTTTAATTTTACATAGCTGCCGACTTCACAGATGTCATTTTGTTTTCTTCATCTTTATAATATTGTGAAACTCTTTTGCGTTAAGGTCCATCCTTTTTGAGTATATTACTGTTTGATAAGGCTTAAGCTGCATATTTATCTTGAGAATTGACTCTAACTCTTTCATCTAACATTTTAAGATTATTTCTTTGGTATTATTATTATGGAACTTGATTTCTTCCAATTGAATAATTCATTTATTCATTATCTCTAAGTGAATTAACCAAATATTATTATTCTGGATTGGGTCTTCTATATATATTACAGTATTTATTAGCAATATATTGAAAATGAGAAGAATCCTAAACAAATATGAAATGAACTACTTTAAGATGATTGCGTTAAGCTGATTACTAAGGATTGTATTGAATTTATTATTATTGTTATTAATCTTATATTCTGGCTAAGTTAATGGTTGATAAAGGTACAACCTTTTTCAAAATACACTATTATTATTTATCCTTATTTTTGAGCAATTAATTCATTAGATTATTTTTGGCTGGACTTCGACTGCAAGAACGTTATTCTAGATGTTATCTACGTATAGATTGCCATTGTATTTCGAGATTTTCGATAGCCTTGATATATATGAGTAGCACTTTACTTCATTCAATTAACTACGATTGCTCTGAGGTGTCAATGTTATTCTTATTTAATCAATATTTAAAGTACTCTTCATTTTTGTACATTTTAACATGCATACGTTCTTGTGGCAATTAACGTAATTAACTCAGACTTAAATTCTATGCATAGAAAGTATTCATGGCTTAACAGTTAAAATTTAATAATAAAATGTCATTTAATCAACAATCATTATTCATTTCACTCTAAATGTATATATATCCTTCTTTTATTGAATATACTTCAAAAATACTAAAATAGATGAATCCATTTTATAAGATATTACATTAATTAGATATTCTATAAATAATTATAATAAAAGATATTTTACTTATTTAGTTATTTTAATTAAGTTGAATCTATATATAAATATATACTATTATTATTTACATTCAAAAGTTATATTATCTTTTAAAACTATGGATGATTAAATAATTTATATTAAATGTTCAATATATTGCATATTCAATTTATAAATATATCTATATCTTAGACAAATGATATTCTATTAGGATAATTAAGTTATTTTAATTAAGGAGATTTTCATAATCTATTTGATTGATTAATGATCTTTTTTGAACTAAAGATTTTACATAAGAAAATAATAAATTTGTTGGCAAGATGACAAGAATCATTAATATTAATAATTGAACTTGTCATATGGGAAATTTTTTATAGTGTAATGATTCTCTTTCAAATAAGACACAAGATATCTGAACTACTAAGATAACAAAGAATAAACAAAATATTGGATAAAAGTTAAAATAATAAGAAATAAAAGGAGTGATTAATATATATGCAAATTTTAGAGGCTAAATAATTAGAAAGTATTATTTTATCTTATTTAGAAAATTTGATTTTTAATTTACTTGATCAATGGCTTAAAAGCAAAGTTCTTCAATCTTTAATTAAAAGAGTACTCATAATGATATAATTATAGAGGAAAACTAATAAGTTTAATAGAATACTTTTTATAAATCTTTAAAAGATTGAATGGAAAAATGGTATTAAAATTGGCAAAGAACTTTTTGAATGGCCAGATGAAAGGAAATATGATGGCTAATATCATAATGATTTTAGAGAAGGAGATTGTATTTTAATGTGGTCAAATGGTTAACAATATTTTGGACTTTGGAAAGCAGGATAGTGGTATGGAAATGAATAAATCATTAAATCTAAAGGAAATACCTTTAGAAACAAATGGATTAATGGTAAAATTGTAACCACTACATTAAAAACCAATACTCCAACTAAAGTTGCTAAAATCATTAATCATCGAAATAATATTATAAATTCTCCTTTAATAATTTTATATTTAAAAATCATTATTATTATCTTTTTTGGATATTTACTCTACATTCATCTTGAAATAAAATAATATTATACTTATTTTAGACTATGACCATTCATCTTGAGGATCAATGCTCAAAGCCTCACTATAATAATTTATAGCCTCTAAAAATTTCTTTTATTGTCTTAAACAATCCCCTTATTTTATGAATCTTTTTTACCAATTCTAGTTAAAGTTAAAACATGCTTGGGACTTAGATTTTATGCTTTCTATAAACATTTCATTGCATCTTCAAATTTTCCAAGTAATCTATAACAATCACCTATTCAAAATGGTTAAACACTTATAAAATACCTTTGCCACTTAATGATTCCACATGATTTTAATTTAATGATAAGACTTTATTATACAATCTTATTGCCTCCTCATCTTTCTATTGTATTCGTACAAGATCAGCTATTAAAATCTCCTTAATATAATTACCCAAACCCCAAAGAGCATCAATATCATTTTGGTTTTAATTCAATATACGGTCATATATCTTTTTAGCATCTTAGAATTTTTTATCTTTCCCTAAACAATGAGCTAAATTTTATATTTTTAAATTTAATACCTTTTCCCAACAATGCTTATTTGTTGTCTGGATCTCTTTCAAGGGTTTTTTCATATTATTGAAGAGCTTCAGAAAATTTACTTCTTCCTCTTAAGGCATCCCCTATATATAAATTAATTCATACCTAAACCATTTATTGCTTATATGTTATTAGGATCAACTTTCAAAACTCTATCAAAAATTTTAGAAGCCTCATAATTTTTGGTTTAAGAAAGTAACAAAGTACCTAGAATCTAAGTAAAATTGAATACCTTTCATTACTAATGTAGTAGAATTATTAGGATCTAAAATTAAAGTACGATTCATCACATCTTAGGCTTGCATGATATTTTAGTTTTTGAATAATTAAGTACCTAAATAAATGAAATGTTAATAAACCCAAATTTTATAATTCTATAACTTATTATTGTATTTCAGGAGGAGCTTAATAATGTAAGGCTGCTTTTACATCAAGTCCATCAATAGCATGTAAAACATTATTTTTTGCTAATTCTAAATATTATAGCACTTCATTATGTATCATTAGATTATTTTCCTCAAATTTTAAGAGTCCAGATAAATAAGATTCTAATTAATCATATGTAAATTGGCTTAAGTTATTTGGTTATTATTAGAATTTTTATTGTAAATTTATTACTAATTCATCAATACATTCTATTAACTAAAATTTATAATCTAATAATTTGCTAATTATTTCTTAGCAATTGTCAGAAAATTCTTTTGTGTGTTAATTCAATCCAGATAATTTCAAGACTTGATGGTCTTTATGTTTAGTTTGCTAAAGGCATTTATAACAAAGTAATCTATTCTCTTAGCAGCAAATACTAAAACAATAATATTCAATCTTCTCATTAGCATGTTATTATTATTAGCAAGGTATCTAAATCATCTAGATGAAAAATTCTAAATAAAATGATATTTTTAATATAAATTAATAAAATATAACAAAAAAAATTACATAAATTAATTGAGTATTTCTAATGGATATATACTTAACTATTACATATTCAATAAATAATAATAATTAAATTGGAATTATTAAGTGATTTTAGTATGGTCCTTAAGAAAATCTACAAAATTCCTTTAAAGTATGATTCATTAAGAATATTTCATAAATTTAAGATATTTATGATCCAAAAATTGTAATATTGATTATTTGATTTATAATTTTGATATCATTTTTTGATTTAATTGTATTTTTGACATGTGTTTTTATTTATGATTTTTTTGTATAATTATGCAGCATCTTAGATTTTCTTGAGAGTAGATTATTGACTCTAATTAATGGACTCTTAATTCAATATTGACTATTAATCTAATATCATATAATCCTTTTAATAATTGCCTACAATTTCTAGAAATTTTATGTTTATTTTTATGATTAATTAATTATTATTTTTATTTCAAGAATTAGAACTACTAAAAATATTAATATATAATTATTACTTAGATGATAAGAAATTGAAAATTAAAGTAATTTATATATATAATGATATTCATATAAAATGGAGTGAAATTTATGTATATAAAGTATAATTATTATGAATAAAATCATTCAATCAATCAACTCTCTATCTTGGAAGAGTCACAATTCCTTTAATTAATTAGGCTACAAACTTAGAGTAAATGTAAGTAAGTATCTTGAGAAATACTAATAATATGTTCAATCTAATAATAAAATGTTATAAATATATATATACTTGTTAATGTAGGCTAAAAAAACTTGAATAAAGAAACAATAATATACCCATTTGAGTAATAATTAATACATCAAATAGGATTTTGTTCTGTAAGCTGAAATAGCAAGATAATAGAAGATAAGACAACTCAAAATGTCAATAATAGTCAGAAACCAATATAATTACTCTGCACGTTCTTAAGATTCTAATAATGCTTATAATTTATTGATTGTATCTTATCTAAAACAGATACCCAAGAATGTAAACATAGTATTTAAAATGGCATGGAGGATTACAATAATGAGAATAGTAAGTTACTATTTGAGCATCATTTCAAGGATTGAATTAACAAGAGAAGGAATGGCCTATCCAATTTGTTCATCCATAGAGTCAGCCTGGGAATCTTCATCTTCTCTTTCAACATTTCTTTAAGTAATATGTATTTGGGCATCATTAGAATATGGTTCGACTAGTGTTGTAAGCAGCAATTGGTACGCTGTATAATAGAGCCATCTTGATTTTCAAGTAAAGTGTCATCATTTTCAATTTCAATCATCTAACATTTCATATCTGTATATTTTTATATAATAATAATAATATATATATAATTCAAGTAAAAGATGAATCCTATTATTCTTCCTCTATTGTGAACAAATTGTACTTACTATTACCTTACTTTGTTGGTTCTTCCTCTATTTTGAAACATAAAAGATCCTCCACTTCTTTAGTTAAGATCTCTATTTCATGATTGGGTGGTTCCTAATCCTCGTTGAGTAAAGCTAATATCAAATTAAGAATATATCAACAATAATGTACTTTGCATTCTTTCTTAAAAGCTTTAAATCTCATCTTCATTTTAAATATTGTTCCATCTTTATTCAAAATCCTATTTATAAAGTTTAATTCATTATTACTTATTTATCTTGTAATAAATCACTTTATTATTATCTACTCTATATTTTGTTCTATTTCATTTTCTCTAATCTTTAACTTATATCCTTAATGTCATCCTCCAACTGTTGTTTCTCTTTCAATAACATGTTCTCACTATTTAGTTTCTTGCATTTTGACTTTGGCTTCTTAGTTTCAATCTCCAAACTAACTATTTATTATCTCAGTTTATCCAATCTTATTATTTTTAATCCCTCTTCCTCTTTCATATTCTTTCTCTTTCCATTACTCACTATTTATCCCACTTATCTATTTCGATTACTAAATCTCAATTATTCAATTCCTTGTTCCATTTTCAAATTATAACAAATATATATTATATATTAAATGGCCATTTTTCATTATCTACTACTCTTAGCATTTCCTATTATTGTATTTACTGCTTAATCCAAAATTGAAGGCAAGATTTTCTATTGTAAAACACTCTCCTTAATATATTCAAGAATTACAAAGAGATATTGTACAAGATGATCCAATTCTTAAAGTAACACTTAATTATGGATAATATGAAACATATACATAAAAAAATGGAATCTTTGCATTGTATAGTACTCAATATAATGGTTAGTTACAATATACCAAATGGCAGATACTTCTTAGAAATTCATTCAAGATATTTTGTATATGAATCAGCATTTATAGATGTATATACAAGTAATAAAGGTACAAATGTTGCTGTATCTAAAATTCATCCAATCTTAAGATAAAGACCTAAATAATAATAATAAAATAAGTAATCAAGAATACAAACAAGAGATTAAATGTTATTTGAGATAATTTAAAGAAAAGATTACTTTGAAGTAATTAAACTATAATATCTTAAATAGAAAGAGGAAGAATTAAATTTATCAGCAATCTATCAAAATTAGTATTTTTTCATGATTGCTATGACTGTTGTAATGTTATTTTTGGTTAAAAAAATGCCAATGGGTAAATTTTCATTTTATTAAATAAATTAGAGGAATTACAATCAGCAGAAAGAGCTCCATAATAATAATGAAGATTCATATTGTAAATATATATATATAGATGGATAAATAAATTATAAAAATTTACTTATTATTCAATTAATTATATTAGGTTCTTCTTTGACTTATAATTGTGAAATATTTTTGAAGTTCTAAATTAATAAAGATTCTAGGTTACTTGAATCATCATCAATAATTAGAAATTAATTAATTTTTATTGAGCCAATTCTCTTTAACAAAGTGCCAAAGCTATCTATGCCCCAGTATTATCTAAATTTGGAGAACTCATCACAGGGAATATCGGTTAAATTTGTGGTGCTTAAGGTTTCTATTCAGGAGAGATTGCTTTCATTTATTGAGGCTATTCTAAGTTATACATTGATTAAATCTTTCTAGGTGAACTATTTTCACCTGATTCCTATTTGTTCTTATTTCTTTCTCTTGTTTTTTTCTTTCCTATCCTTCCTTCCTTTCTATAAGTTTATAAAATTGCTTTAGCAGTTGAAAAATTAACTCCAAACTCTTTAGCAGCATCCTTTATTGTTGCCTATTTTGAAAGTATACGACGTAGTAATTGAATACGAATTGATTAATCAATAATCGCATATTTTTTAGAGTCTTTATTTTTATGTTCTTCAGGGTTTTAGTCTTGTCTATAGATAACAAATGAATAATACGATTCAGGTGTAAAACTATTAACACTCTCTTCCTCAGAATGTATCATTGAAGTTTTATAAATGAAGATAAAATTATATAAAAGTAATAAGGATCTCACTTTAAATATTTTGACAAATTATCATACTTATGAATACTCATAATTTTTGTTCATTTCTTTTCAGAACAAATAATAGACTTAATGAGAATTTATGTTTAAAACCTATCAACGTCAATATTAGATTTACATTTTTTTATATCAAAAATACTATAGAAATGCATTATATTTAAGCTTTCTAATTAAATTATATTTAAAAGATCAAAAATCTCATTGTTAATTCTAAACAGAGTCATAAGAGAGTGAGAATTTTTATAATTTTGAGATTTTTCTATATAATTTCTATTTTATTTAATGAGGTTTAATAAATCATATAATATGTAATCACTTAGTTAGAGTTAAGGTTATAAAACTAGCTTTCTAGTTGATCCAATTAATTTTTTTATAATCAAATAAACTTAAATGTATTAATTAAATCCATTCATAAAAAAATTATATATTTTGAAGATTTATTATGATATAAACAACTTAGTAAGTATTTTAATATAAATAGAAATATGAATTAACCAGTAATACTAAGAATTTTTATGAGTTTCTTTTTCATTATTTATTTTTTCATAACTTTCAACATAAAATAATATTGTATATATATTCAGTATTTAAGTTAAAAATCTCATTTTATTCAATTTTTTAGTTACAATACTTATTCTATATAATTATTGTATTTATGGATTAATATTAAAAATATATAATTTATAAATCAACAATATAATTTTGAGATTCTGAAAATTGAATACTACATCCAATAGAAATTTGGATATCTAATATAATATGTCATATTTTTATTACTTGTTTTCTTATCCATCTGTTAAATAATATCTTATTATTTAAGAATTATATGTTCAGTGGCTAATCCATTTAAATTGAATATTTTTTTAATTCACTCTTTTATAAAAATTTATATTTTTGATTGAAATAATTGATTAATTAATCAATATTTAATTTAATGTTTGAAGATTAATAATGCTAATTTGATTATTATTTATATAAATTGATAAATAAATAATAATCAATTCAATTTAAATGTTTAGTTTAATTTATATGATGGAGGTTGATTATTAGTAAAAGTTTAAGCTTATTTAAATGAAAATCCATTTGTTTTAGTTGGAGTAGAATGAAATCTATAACAAGTTGACTCTTCATCTATTTGAGTTAACAATTTAGTAAACTTAACCCTTGATTTTAAAGTTGAGGCAAACTTCTCAATACTAAATCCAGTAAGAGTATTGCTCTTTCTTTTTTGTAAGATTTAATCCTTTGCTAAATATTTAAGGACTGATTTGTCTTAATAATTAATTTCCTTCTTTAATCCAGTAAATTATTCATCTATATTACCATCTTCAAAACTTTACTTATAATTAACCTATTAGTATCGATCACTTGATATTTTATTATGATCATGATTTTTTTTTAATCTAAGTATCATTTTTTTGAATTGAGGAGATATAAATGAATTGACTTTTCTATTCTCTTATTCATCTTTCAATTATAATATAGGTAATTATTCCTTCTATTCATACTTCTCATTTAAATAACGTAACAACCATTTTGCTGATAATCCATGTTCTATTACATCTAAAAATTATTTAATAGGAATCCTTATAATTCTAGAATCACTTTTAACTATTGATATTGTTCTTCTTATCAACTTATGCTTGTATTTCTTATGTAAATACAATTCATAATCTCCAACAATTTATCCTGTTCCAAATAATCCAATATTTTTGATTCTCTATTACTTTTAGAAATTTACAAAATATTTCTATTCTTGAATCTAAGCTGCAGCATTATCAACTAATTCTTTAATCTATACCAACACTTCTCCCTTAATCACCAGATATAATGCATCTGCATATTAGTGTTCTCTATATAACAAACATCCTCCTTGTATATTGAGTTCTTCATAATTGTGTAAAATCTATTAAAACTGTTATTCATTCAATAAATTAAATGGATACATTCTAGCTATCACTACTTGTCTCAATTATAAATTATCAGCCTATAATTCACTCAGTAATTATTAATAAGCATCAAAAGTTATTATTGCAAAAGTACAAGGCTCTTTGGTAATTACTGTAGCTGTGCGAGGAATCCTTTATTCAATTGCTATCTCTCCAAAATAATCATATTATTTTTTATAGGCTACAATTCTATAGTTTGAAAACCTATGTAATATCAATTCATCGAATGTCTTTGTGCCCCCTAAATTAATTTATGATTATACTTCTTCTTTTATTATCCTCTTTTAGAACTATCTCATTTTAATCATCTGTCTTTATAAGCACAGCTACCTCTCCTTTTAATATGATATACATCTTTCTTCCAGTTTCTCCCTAATTAAAAACTACATTAAATGTATTAATTTATTCTATTGAGATGGTAGCCATCAATTTTATTAAGATTTAAGTTGTAAGCTTATTACGTAATTAAGAAAAATAATGGACATTTTATTCAAGGGTATCACAAAGGAACTTCAATTGTTGCCAAGTTCTTTATTTTGGTTCAATTTATAATGTAGCAATAAGAACATCCATCTCTGAAAGTTGTTTTCTTTATCTATGCTTTTAAATTTGTTATTGTGATTCATCACTATCATCTAAACTTTATTCACCAGATAATTGACTTAAATTCATTTTTATAATATAATTTTAATTCTTAAATCAATTATTTTTATGGTGTCTTTTTGTTATTTGATCTATTAAATTTTACATCTTATAAATTTAGTAAATATAGTAATATCTTTAATTAACCGTTTTTATTTAGAGATACTTCATATTAAAATCTCCAATATATTTATACTATGGAATCTATATTTACTTAAAATATAATTAATTCCTTTTCTATCACTAATAACCAATTACTATTTTAAAAATAAATTAATAATATCTTATTAATAAAATATTATATAATTTCTAATCTTAATCATATAATTAATAATTGTTTGTCTTTTACAAGATAAAAATATTATAAAAATAAGAACTCCAATAATTATTAAAAATTCATTAGATAAAAAAAAGATGAATATCTATCTATATATATATAGTTCATTATATTATCTGATAGAAACTGTTTTTAAAACTTTAAATAATACTTCCATCCTTATTACAAATACAATTTCCTTCCTTATTACCACAACCAAAACAAAAAGTATATCTGCAAGAACAATACAATATTTTTTCATCATCCAATTACTTTACCCATAATTTACATTTTGGACATTCCTTATAATTATCACCCATTTCAAATTTAGCAGTCTTGATATCAGTTTTACATTGATTGATTGGATGATTCTATGATTAACATTTTAAACAATATTTCTTTTGACATTCTGAACATCTATAAATTTCTTAGCCTATGTATGAAAAATATTTGTTGCATTGTGGAGTAGGACAACATGAAGTCTTAAAATTGTTATTGGCTTTAAGTTAATATTCTATATCTTATTATAAAGTAGAATATCCACATATGGGACATTTAAAACCAATATTAATATTTAGTCCTTGAATCAATATATTAGAAACACATTATTGATGAAATTGATGTGAACAAACAGCATTAAATTTCTTATCAGAATTATTATCGATATATTAAGAACATATTTAACAAATATTACTTTGTTATTTTAGTTTTTATAATGTTGAACATTCTTTTGATACAATACAGAGAATATCTTCTAACTTTAAATTTGAAATTATTTATACCTTTTCTTTCTTATTAAGTACTCTATCAAATATATCATCCCTTAAAAAAGGTGATACAATATTGAAATCTATCTAATGTTTCAAATTTTAGAGAGATTAAACTAATTCAACAATTTATTATTGGTTCTCAATATTTCTTCTGCCTATTTCTATTCCAATTATTAAAGTATCTAAAAGTAATTCTACACCTCTCTATTCAGTGTGTTTGATAATTTCTATAATAGTATAAATGTTCATATATATATATATATTTATAGATTGAATATTTTAGATAATATTAATATTAAAAAATCAATAAATATAATTTATATTCATAAAATTGGATCTGCAAAATAATGCCTACCAGTACCATGATAGTTTTATGGTGGTTATTCATTACAAAACACTTTATCATCTAAATTCTTAATTAATTTATTTACTATCTTAATCTTATCTATTTTATGCACAAATTGAATTAACATATTACTTTTCCATTTTACATCCACAATAATAGCAAACTAACTATTACTTTTTTAATTCCAATGAAAATTTATCTACTAATTTACTCCATTCATTTATTTCTTCACTTGCTTATCTTTCTAATTCTTGTCTATCAATTTATATTTATTAATAATTACTTGATTACTTCTTCATCAATTTATTTTTCACTAAGCAATTTCCATATAATTTCATTTTTAAATTCAATCAATTATTATTAAGCAGATGCCCTTTATAATTATAATCTTAATTCAGTTAATTCTCTTGGTAAATCATATGGGTAAACATCAATTTAAACTTTGAATGGTTTTGCAACCATATATTCAATTTAATCATAAATATTTCTTGATTTCAAAAGGAAAGGACAAGGATCAGGAATCTCTTTTAGATCATAAAATTATGAACCTACCTCATTGATTTTATCTAAATCTCTAAAAATTTTAATTGATAACTATATATATACCTTTATAATTCTGATATCTCATGACTAAGGATTGCTAATTTTTATCCTTCACTTTATTTTAATCTTTCTAAAACACCACCAAATTCTGCTCTTGCATCCCTTTCAATAATGGTTTTGACATATTTAATCTCTTCAATTCTATATTCTATCTAAAAGAATGATTAGTTAATTTACTCTATGAATTTATGCTAACAGTTATTCTCTTTTCCCTAATAGATTGGCTTTGATTGATTCTTCAATTTTAGCACATCTCAATTTGAAAGAATCACTTAATCTATTGATTCTATGTAATTAAGTGTTATGAGGACCTAAGATGGTACATTGTTAACAAATAGGATCTTCACATGCTTCACAGAAAAACTGGAATGGGAGATTGTGATGAATGCAAACTTTGATTTGTGTTTAAATAGGAGGAGGAATAAATGGATCATGCTATTATGGTTCATCAATTTAAAGATCATGTTATGAGTCTAAGATTTGAATTATAGTATACTTTATTATTCCAAAATTTCACCAGGAGGTAATTACTTCTTAGATTTGACACTACCTGCTTAGGATTTGTCTTATTTTGAAGAGACAGACTTTTTCTTTTTTGGTACAGGGTCCATTTAATAATAATATATTATTCATTTTCTCAATCGTTATTAGTTTAATTTGGGTTTGAATTGAGTATTGGTTGGTTTTAAAGTTAGTTGTAATTTTCGACCAGGAACAGGAGGAACAGAAGTTCTACGACTCATGTCTTCTGAAATTTTGATAGGATTATATTTAGTTTAAATTTGAGTAAGTTTTTAAGTAAATGAAGCATTTGGTTAAGATCTATTGACGGGTTAACGAGTGACTGATGAACGTTTTCTACTATGTCCATATCCATTCTTAGATTTAATAATAAATGGTGAAATGGATCCTGTATGTTCATTTTTTTCGATAGCATCAATATCATCAGCTGAAATCCTAGCAAAACATAAATGCTCTTTTTATTCTTTTAATAAATCATCGCCAAATGAAATTTGCAATAATTCATTCTGTTTAAGAATCTAAAATTAAATAAAAATATTAATTACTTCATTAATAATAGGTTCTCTTGAAAGATGTTTAATTGCTTAATCATATTAAATACATGCAGTTTCATCATTATCTAAAATAATTGTTTAAATCTTTTTCATGATACGACTTAGTTTAATACGTACATCAAAAATCTTATCTTAACTGAGTACCAATATATTGATGAAATTATTCACATGGAAATATCTCTTAGAACATAGATCAATAGTTTAAGAAATGAAATCAATATAACAGATACGCATTCTGAATTTGTGACTATTCATACATTAGTTTATCATTTAACTATTAATAGATCTATGAAATTTATATATTTCCATTACTGATCATGATATGCCAAATATGCTATATTCTGAGCTGCCAATGTTCTAATATTTGATGAATCTGCTGATAATAAGTTTTATAATGGACTTAATAATAATAGATATGCATCGCATTATTAAAAGAACTCGTGAAGTCTCTGTATATATAATGTAATTTTACTTTAGTAATTATTCTAATAACATTATACTGGCCTTGCAATTTAATTGTTTTACTAAGTCTATTAGGATATCATTCACTAACATTTTCTATTTTATATAATTATTAATAATTACTGATAGAATTAATTGTTCTTATTGATCAAAGCTTGGCCAAAGAGCATAGATGATAGAATATAAATTGTATTATATTATTGGATTATCTAACATTTTACGAATAAGTGGTATTAATGATTGAGTCTTATGAATTTTTAAAGTAGAGATAACATCTGGGATGCTTGCCAAGAGTAAGTTCCTGACTTGAATAGATGTATCAAATTGCATTAATTTTAAATAGGTTTCTTTTAGTTAATCATAACATTCCCCCTTTAAGATTTGTAGTATGGCAGGAAAATTGTAAGCAAAGTTTATTCTATATTCTTCATTTGTATTATCAGCAAATGATATGAACACTTTTAGAAATTTTTAAATATCAGGTTTTACATCCATTATTTCCATTAATACTTTCCCACATATTCTTGACATTATTGTTATAATTTATACATTCTGGGAACTTAGAAATTCAAAAAATTATTTTGTAATCATTTTTTCCCTATCTTATAAATGAGATTAAACCATAAAAAACATCTCAATAGCTGCCATCCTTACTTGTACTTCATAATCATAAATCAACTCAAAAATCTTTATTTTAATATGATTTATATACCTTCATTTACAAATAAGTACTAAACTTTTCAGGAGTGAAAGTACAGTAAACAATCTATATTGTTTTCACAATCTCAAATCTTACCTAAGGATCCTTATCCATACAAAGCAATTATATTCTCTCTATCTATGGTATATATTGAAGTAATCGAGCTCCTCTCTATCGTAAATGTGTCTCAGCCTCAATATCAGTTAACTCATCTATCAACTTAATTGAATTGTGTATATCACAACAATATAACATTTCAAATAACTCAAACCATCCTTCTGCTAATTTCAAATTATAATTCTTCATGAAATGAATCGTCTGATTAAGTAACAACTATTATTCCTTCTCTTTCATCTATTTTGCAATCAACAACAATTCCTTTGTTGCTATTGCAATCGTGTCTTCGTCTTATTTCACCAAATCCTCATTAATTATTGGAAACAATAAACTAAATCCACTCACCTTAAATAACCTATGGATATTTGAGTAAATCTAATTATTATCTATAATACTGCATATTTTTAAATTGGATGACCTCTCTAAAGAATATATTGTGCTCTTCTCAATTCTCCCATGTTCTCATCCAATGTTAGTTAATTGAGTTCTTCATCTGTCTGTCATAATAAATTATTTTACATGAGTCCCTGATCTCCGTATTTCATTTATTGTAAAATTCATTATTTTATATATTAATCATCTATTTATTTATACAAACTAAAATATCATCACTATCCCACTTCCTCTCCTTTATCAATTATAAATTAAATTACAAATTATACCTAAATGAAGTTTTCTAGATCTTCCTTTACACATCTAATCAATCTATCATTTAGAACTAATCCTCTTACTACAATCTAAACTTCATAGAGTAATTCTCGTTTGTTTGAGGTCAATCCCAAAATTGATGATCTCTTAAAAAAATCTTAAACTATTTTCACTAAATCAGAAATCAAGCCTAAATAATAAGATTAGAAAATAATATAAAATAATAGTTATATGCTAATACTAGAACAAATCTAAAAAGAAAAAAAGCAACTCTTAACCCTATTATTATAGAAAGATGGCATCATTAAAGAATAATAAAATAAAAATAAAACAATTAGATTTATAAGATAAAAGTTTAGTTAAATAATTGAGTTAATTTAACAATCTACAACCTTAAATACAATAATTTGAGGAGTAATACCAATTAAAAATTAAAGATAATCAATAACTGAAATATGAAAAGAATCAAATCTAAACTTTGCTTAATTATCTAATATGCCAGAATTTTTATTAGTAAAGAAATTCGAAATTCACTACAATAATTACATTCATAAATAAAGAAATATTACATAAAAAATTACAAAGTTGACTATTAAAATAATTTATAATTAAGTCTATTATCATTAAATATCAATGATTTAGACTTCAATATAATCTTAAGAAATTGTTTGGATAGTATACTATATATGACTAAAAATACAAACAATTCTATAGATAATTTAATAATAAAAAATGTTGAACCAAGAATGTTGTCATTAAATTAAAATGAAGGATAGAATTGAATAAATAAACTTATTAACATTATCTCTAAATAAATGTTCAGGATTGATCATCATCATCATTATCTTCTTCATCTTCTTCATCATCCTCTTCATCATCATCAGATGAATTTTGTCTTTTCCTTTTTTAATTTGTTGCTCCTGTTGTACCTTCTACCGCTTTAACTGCCTATCCAATATTATGCATAACATACTTCTCTATATTTATTTAAATAGAGTTTTAATATATCAACATAACTTTCAAAACCTAATGTATTAATGGCATACAATAAGTCTTCTCCATTTATTGTCTTCCTTTTCTCATTCTTACATTTTTCACAAGCTTCTGATGTTATGAATGATATGAATCTATATTTTAAATTATTTCATACTCTGAAACACATTCTTACACAGTTTCTTTTGCATCTTTAGCAATCTTTGCATTTTCAGGGAGGGCCTTCTTCATGATCCTGTTTATATTAGCAATAGGTAGAAACCTACTATAGTTTGGTATTTGCCTTCTATAAAATAAAAATTTAATAAAACATTAGATTATCATCTTAGATCTCTTATTTTTAATTATCTTCTTATCGAAATTGACTCATCCAATCAGATTTGATTTTAATTATATATAAATTTAATTAGAATATAATATTTATTATATTTCTATGTAATCCTTTAATATATTTAGCAATTCGCTTAAAATAATCCTAATATTAAATAAATCACAAGTTTTCGAGATCCTTCATAAAATCTTAAAAAGCATCTTCTGGTTTTTTCTTTATTTGACTTTCTTTTACAATCTATCTAAAATTATTTTAATTATTTTAGATTTATTAATTTTTTATTAATTACTACTATTGATAATAATATTATTGTTATTGTTATTATTATAATAATTGTTATTCGTGTTATTATTTTTATTGTTATTGTTATTGTTATTATTATTATTATTATTATTATTATTATTATTATTATTATTATTATTATTATTATTATTATTATTATTATTATTATTATTATTATTATTATTATTATTATTGTTATTATGATTATTAAATCTGCTTTCTTTATAAATGAAGTGGTATCAAAGGTACTTATTATTTTGTTAAATCAATCTTGCATTTCTTAACCGTGCTCTCCTTTACAATTACATCTGGACAAATTGGTTTTTATTCTTTTTCTTCATCTGGTAAAAATATTTTTTTCAATGGCTAAGGTTCAGCTTATTCAACTTAAGGGTCTTATGGAGGTTATGGTAACCTCTATTCCTCTAAATTTTTGATATAATCAAAGTTCATCTATTCAGTTACCTTACTAAATGGATCGTAAGTAGAAAATTATGTTTAGAGTTATTTTTATTTATAACCAATTTTAATTTTAGAAGGATCTACTTTACCCCCAAATATTTTTAAAACTTCATCTGTAATAATCACTCCATCAGAATCTAGATTATATATATAATTATTCATACTTTTGTATATTTTCTCATTAGGCTTGGCTTAATACTCCAATAATTTATCATTAATTTATGATGCAATTTTTGTTTCATGAGATGGAACATATTTTCTTTTTTAAGGATCCAAAAAGGCTCTATTAATTTCAATTGCTTTTTTTGAAAATTCTTAGGAATACCCTGGTACTTTAATTCTTTCATCTTTTATTTACTCTAAATTTATAGGAGGTTCGTTAATAATTGGTTATTCATTTTCTTTAACAATTACTTCTTATTCTTATTCTTCTTCTCCATCTGAATTTTACTATTTTTCAGCATCCTTTTATAACTTCATTTAAAGTTTTTCTTATTTTATTCTCTCATATTTCTTGTGTTTTTCATGAGCTTCTTTCCTTTTTTGTTATTTCTATTATTTTAATTTCTTATGATATTTTAAAACAGGATTGATGCTTTTTTCCATTAATATTTATATATTAAAATATTTTAAAACATAATTATGGAATTCAATATTTGTTAAATGTTCTCAAAATATATTCACTTTAGAATAATATCGGAGATTGTCTTTCTTTTCTAAATCTCTATAATCCATCACCTATATTAGTAGGAACAGATTTAATTATCTTATACTCTTTAATTATTCCAAACTGAATTAAAAGAGTAATCCTTTGTTTTTATGCAAATTTTTTTAACAATTTTTTATTATAATCGAAAGGAACATAAGTCTTTATGAAGACCATAAATTATATTTTATGTTTGATGATTTATATTTATTTCTTTGTTTCACAGAATAATTATTATTATATTTACTTAATTTCTATGTCAATTAGTAATAATTCATTGAGTTGCTCTTAATTCCATTTTATACTGGAAAATTATTATAGAACTAATTTTATAAATTTTCATTAATAATAACTAAATAAATATAATTTATTCATAAATATTCAGTATTAAATGTATATTTTAGATCCTCTCATTATTATGAAAATTAAAAAATTTATGAAAATATCAAAACATTAAGACATATTTTTATTATCAAACTTCCTTAATTATTGTCTTCTTCATAATTATAAAACAGACATTTTAGTATAGTGAAAAAATAAGAGAAAGTTAAACATTAGATTTTTAATTAATAAAGTAATTGTATAATATAAATATTCTCAATGTATCAAAGATTTCAATTTAAAAATCTTTTAAGAGATAGTCTTTTTCTAATTATAATAATATTTAAAAATGCTTAATTTAAATTGTATACTTTCATCTATAATTTAAATAAAAATGGATATTATTTGATATGAAAAGGAAAAAGTTAAATATATATATATATATTTACAAAGAAATATTAATTTGAATTTAAAATATATTTCTGAGGAAATAATAAAAAATTTAATATATAATTATATAGATTATTATTATTGAACTCTTGAGAATAAATTTATTACTTATCATTTTACATTGATTTATAAAAAGGAGAGAATATAACTCAGAATTCCATCAATATTTATGTTTCTTTTACTCTAAGCACTTATGGATAAAAAGTTGGAATAAGAATTGTAGAAATTCTAAAATATAATTTAAAATTTTGGTTGAAATTGAAGGTTGCTTAATTGAATTAAATTATTGTTATGATTAAAACATCTTATTTATAAATACTTATAAATAATTTAATGAACACTGACTTTTCATAATTTTTAGCTAATAATTTTTTTAATAAATTCATTGTAAATTGATTACGTCATGGCCTCAGTTGACTAGACATAATTCACCTTTATAAAGCATCGCCACTTTACAAAGAAGAGAAAACTCGAACAAAAACCAAGAAATTACACTTACATTAGTTCTGAGGCTAAGTTATTGTTCCTCTAGCTCTTTTTATTTGAAAGCTATAAAATCCAAGATGTAAAGTTTTGTTTAAATTTACAATTAGGCAGCCAATAAAGCTGGTATTAAGTATTCATCAGCCAAGACAATACTATTCGCTCATCGAAAGTCATTTAAGAATGAATTGATAAGAAATAAATTGGCAGCAGTATAAAATTAAATTATATTATGAAATAGAATTCTATAAAGGCTAAATGTTGTGGATATAAAATTAAATAAAGTGGAGATCAGGATAATATTCAAATAATAAGTAGAATTGGAATGTGAGTGCGTATTCAACACCCCCCACCTTTAAATTGTATATATATGTGAATAAAATTTTTAATTTAATATTAATTAATTTATCCGTTAACAAAATGAATATTAGATAACCACTCTAATCTTATAATTCAGTAGAGAGAAACCCTGAGAAATCATGCAAATCGATTTCTGAAATAGAGACATTCCTTAAAGAAATAGACAGATTGTAAGGAGAGAATCAAAAGTTGAAAGATCGTCTTAAATAATAGCCATCCATATCAATGACTATGGAAAACCAAAAGGTTCTTACTGAGAATCAAGACTTAAAAGTATACTATCAATAGTTATTCATTAGAATTAATTGGAGTTGCTAAAACATAAAAATGAAGTATAAGAGAAGACTCATGCAGATGCCTTAAGACAATTAGATATCAATTGGAAATAGGACGTGGCTACCTTAAAGTTTCAATTGGAACAATAGGAGATCAACCATAGATAAAGTTCAAGATAGGAAATTATATAATACAAATCAGAGATTGCAAAGCTATAATAAAATCTTTCTAAGATTTCCAATGTAGAAAATAACAATTAGAATCTAGTCCAAGTCTTGGTAATGATAATATATTAATAAATAGGAAAATGAACTGATTTAAGTTAAATAGATTAATAATGGTTTGGAAGAGAAATTAGATTAAGCAATTTCTTAATTTGATCTTTAATCCAAAGACTAAGAATTTACTTTGATGAAATAATAAACTATTATCAATTCTTAGGAATAATATCTTAACGAATTAAAATCAAAGCTTTAGATTTAAAAAGATTAAAATCTTGATTTGTTATCATAAGTAAAGAAATTGAAGGAAGTAGCTGATAATAAGACTACTCAAGCATCCAGTTTAAGTAGTAGAGTAAAAGAGTTAGAAAGTGATTTCAAACATGTGAGTAGTACTTATTAGGAACATAAAGCCTAATTATAATAAAGAATCGAGGAATTAATATTATCAACTGGAAAACAATCTGAATAAATATGTTTACTTTAAACTTAATAATAAAGAGATTAAGAATTGATTAAACGATTATAAGTTAATTTAGAAAATGAATAAAAGAATAAAGAGATGGAAGTAAGAGAGATTTAAGAATCTAAAGCTAAATTGATTCAATTTTTATAATAAGAATTACTTTAATAAAAAGAGTAGAATCATTAATTGAAAAGTGATAATCAAATGTTAGATAAACAATTAAATGAATTAAAATAATACTATTAATATAATTTTAGAGATTTAGAATGTAAAACTAATATGTTGGAAGGCGAATGCAATAGATTAAATAACATTATTGTTTAAAAGGATCAAGAATTAGTAATTATTGAAATGTAGATGAAGAGCACTAACAATTATTAAGAGAAAGAAGATGAGAAAATTCATGAAGTCATTTAAGTTTAAGAATAAGAAATCAATTTATTAAAGTAATAAAATGAAAGTTTAATAAATGATCTATCAAGATAAGCTGATAATTATAGACATTTAGCTCTATAACACAAATAATATTAGAAATTTGCAGAGGATGTCAAATTGAATAATATAACTATTAATGAATTATAAAGCAAATGTGAATTATAAGATAAGGAAATTGAGAGACTTAGAATGAAAATACTAGAAAAGTCATAATAACTTGAAAAAGTGTAAAAAGACAATCTTGATTATTAAGCCAAACTCAAAACCAGATTGAAATGATTGTATATACTATATATTAATATAAATATGTCAGTGTCCTAATTGTTAAATAAATAATACAATCTAGTTGCAGATCATAATGATATCACATCTTTCTAATTGTAATTGAAAACCCATAACTTAATTCAATAACTAACTATTATAATTGAGCATATTTAAAACAAAAAATCAAATAGGATTACAAAGAATTAGAAAAAATAATTGTAGATTTATGAATCTGAAGTCTAGAGTCAATATTAGAGTAAATCTCTTATATTATTATTTCAGGAATCTTATTTAATGAATTATATGATATGAAAAACTAAATCAAATAGTTCGAATAATAAAAAGATGAATTTAAAAAAAAATACAAAAATAACTTTGAATGTATTATTTATTCGATAATTAGTTTTTAGAAATTAAAAAAAGAGAATGAGGAACTCTATACAAAATTTAAAATCTTATTAGAAGAATTAAATTACTATAGACAAATTGAAATATATACCCAACAGTCAACTAAAATAAGTAATACTAAAACAATAGAAAAACTAAATAAATTCAAAGAAAAACAATTTCATACTAATATTACTCCTCAAAAGTCAGCCAATTAATCTTTTGATTGTTTAGTTAATAAAAGATTTAGTTAATAGATTGTCCAAAGAAAATATAGTTTCTAAAAATATATGTCTAATAAAAGGAGATCTTGCACTACTGATTTATCTAAAAGTATGTGAATCATTTTATCAATATTATCTTATTAAAAATCATATACTATCATTTTTACTAGACTGATTTTTATTTAATAAATAGACAATTTAATGTTACTAAATTACACACATATGTTTAATTGGATTAACATTTTAGATTAATAATTAAATTAGATATCATATTTATTAATACTGTTATGTAAAGAGCTCTCTAATTTTATTTTTGTTAAGTTAAATAACAATTTAGAATAAATTACATACAATTAAGGAGAAATTAATTATCAAAACAATAAAAGATAATAAAATTAGATATAATACTATTCTAATAGAGATAAAAATTCAAACTCTTAGAGTCAAACTATTTCCTAAAATTTTGACTATGTAAAATATTAATCAATTATCAAATTTAATATTAAGTAAATAAGAAGCTTAATAAGATTAGATAATTATAAGAATTAATTAAATTATCAATTTAATCATACCCATATACTAACAAATAATCTAAGATCATAATATTTCATCTTCATTTAAAGGTTACTTTTCGATTTCATTGATTATATATTTATGATAAGGATCTATAGAGATTTCTTATTCATATTTAGATTATCCAAATATCATCAATTAATCTATATTCATATTAATTTTTATTCTAGCCATTGGTTTATATTTTAATTCATTTTCTTTTAATACTCTATTTGATGTAAAACTTTAAAATGTTTAGTCATCATTTTATTATTTTAGAATAGCGGAAATAGTTTAATCTTTTTCAAATAGATATGGTTTTCTAATAATTTACTATCTATCAGTACATATGAAGATTGGTACTTGATTTTATTATTACATCTCTCTAATTTATTATAAAAATGTTTACATTATTTATTGATTTTTATTTTCAGATAATTCCATCATTTAATCATTTGTACTTGAATATTCTTATTTTTTTCTAAAATTATACAAATCCATCATTAAAGAGCAACTTGGATTTCTAGATATACGAGTTGATAAGGAATGAAGTAATTTAGAATGAATTTTCTCTTTATTATCAAAATCCTCTAAAGCTCTTTGATCTCTATATAAACTTTATTTTTTTAGAAATGGCATTTTTTCAATTGACTTCTATTCATCTATACTATTTTAGATTAATCTTTTTTCCAACTAAGTAATTTTATTAATTAACTCCTAACCTGTAATAAGATTTTCAGTTTTTGCTTATTTAGAAATCTTAACAGGTGTTTAAGCTATTTTTAATTGTGTTATTTTTCTTTATAAGGGAGATTCCTTTTTAGACATACTAATTGACTCCAATAGACCTATCTATTAATTTGGATTCTGTAAGTCTTAATTTAAATGCTGAAGAGGTTATTTTTTTTTGAAGATATCAGGTTTTCCTACAATAGTTCTTGGGACAATTTTATTTTTTTCATATTTTGGTCCAATTGCATGATCATGTTATAAAATTTTTAGATTAAGTGGATCTTAAAATATATTTTTAGTTTTCTCTAACTTTTTAGTTTCAAAAAGTTATTAAATCAATTCAGGATTGTGATCAATTGATTTGGCTAATAAATAATGATTACCTTTAATAATAGAAGAAGATTACAAATCAGAGAATCCACTATTAGCAGAAACGAAACTTATTGAATTCAATTATTTATGCATTTAATTATGAATATTATAATATTGTAATATTTCATTATTCTTACTCTTATTCAATAATAGGATTAACTTTCAATTAGAATTATGATGTTGTATCTACACCTATATAAGAATCACATATGGCATATATGGTTAAATCATAATCTCCAGCTTCAGGTGCTTAGAATCTGAGATCAACTTTAATGCTCTATTAAAATGAAACCTTCTTATTTCCAAATAATCTATTAGTATTTCTATCAGCACATAAAACCCACCATTGTTCTTCTTTTTATTTAGGATAATGTGGTGCTATTACATAATCAGTATAAATATTATCTTGTCTACTTAAGACTACTTGAACATGGAAGATATCTCCTTGGACAATTTCTTCTTCAGCAATAATATCTGAAATTTCAACAGATGGTAATCTAATATGAATATTGAATATACCTGTTTCCAGCTTAGGCAATGTCATCAATTTATTGTTAAGTAAATTGATTTAATACTTGAGTTCGATCAGACTCATCCATATCGAAGAAATCAGCCCAATCGGACACTTTCATAGATTTTAATTATTCAATAGTGTTTTTATTAAAATGAGGTAATTACAATAATACACTATCTTCATCTTTCCAAAGACTTTAAACAATCATTTAACAAATTTGCATTGATATAATAGCAGGTTTTAACCAAAGATTTGAAGATGCAATATCAACCATGGCAGTACTTAATCTAATTGCTAATTCTAAAATAGTCAAATCTGATTTTAAATCAGAATTCAATTTGATTCTACTAAAATAAGCTTATAATAAAATTAAAGCTTTTGTATTAGGTTCATTAAGTTTAACATTAATAGGTTAGAAAGGTATCTTTTAAAGTAATTAAGCTAAAAGAATTTCTTCTCCATTTCTAATATTTAAGACTTCAAATTCTTTAGCTTCAGATAAAATGAATAATAAATCTCTAAGTTTACTATTTGCATTAATTTTATCTGAAAAGTTTTTAACTGTTTCAATATTAATATAATAATAATTGGCTATAATACCAGAATTAATAGCTTCTAATTCATTATCTTCTTCAACAGCTATACATTTACTTTCATGTAATTCATCAATAGTAGTTTCAATTAATTCACTTAAATAATTGTTAATAGCTACTCCATTAATTTCATGTAAACTGTAATAATTTGGATTCTAGGTCAATCTTCTATACATAAAAGTCCATGTAATCCAATCAATGCAGTCTTATGTATTATGAATATTTTTAGCTACAATTTCAGCATTCAAATGATTAGCTAAATTATGATTAAGATGAGATTCTATTGGCATAGGTTCATATAGGAATTTCTAATAATATTCTTTCTTTGGACTATATGTAAGTACATAACATTAAGAAGTAGTACTTTCAATCATTTCTAACATTTCAGCAATAGTATAATCAACATATCTCTTATCAATTCCATCATATTTTTAATTATCTAAAATAAATACTTTTCCTTTAAGATTATAATATAATGCTAATTTGTAGGTGACTACAACAACTCTTAATTCTCCAGAAGATATAAATCTAAGTACTTCACTTTCATCTTATGGATCCATACATTCATAAAGGAATCCAACTGATGCTTATAATGTATGTTATAGATATTAATCTTCTTTGATTGTAAAACCTGATAATGAATTATTATTATTAATCATAAGTTCTAGAGCACATACTCTAGCTAATTTACGATCAGATACATATATGATATTTAAATCTGTATTTGAAAGATTAGTTTTCAATGATTTAATCATAGCTTAAATTCTTAAAGGTCTTTGACATTGATCAAATGATTAAATTTATATTTAAATATTGTTAGGTCTAACAATAGGTTAGAAATTGAAAGTATGTTTACTTCCTATCCAATCACTCATTTCTTTATAATCAGCTACAGATAAAGATAATCCTACAACTCTAAATGGAATTTCCATAGAAATCATTCTCATTCTTGATACTATAACTTCTAATACACTACCAGATTAACCAAGAGTATGTAAATCATCAGCTATAAATACTCTGATATCTTTGAATCCTTTTTTAGCTCTCCATCTTCTACTAATAATATCCCAATTAATAGCATTAGATACTATAATATCACATTATTCTAAGATTTTATTATCACTTTAAGTTTATCCACTTAATTTTCCTATTTTCAATGACATAGTTTTATTGAATATTTATAAGAATTAATTGTATTTAATATCACAATTAGTTTATATTGATGAAACATATATAGCTTTATATCCTTTCTATATATTAATCATTTATAAAATAGCTAAAATGGGAAGTATACTTTTAGATTAATAAGTTGATGATCCAATAAAAATATTATCATTAGATTAATATATTTATTAGAATACTTAAGTTTGAATCTAATCAAAATATCTATTTTATAATATCTTTTTAGCTAATATATTTTCAATCTATTAATGTTTAATTTAATCAATTGATAATAATGTTAATTATAATAGATCTGTACATCTATTAAATGGTTCTGGTAATATAAGATTTTTAAATGGAATTGGTTATTCACTTTCACAAGATATCCATTTATCAGATATTACTTTAATATAATAAATTGGATGCATAACTTCAAATAATGCAACTGTTAAAGTAAATTCCATTTCTTAATTTTTTTATTTCATTAAAAACATTTCATGATATAATATTTTCTCTCCATCAGAATCTAATACAAATATATGAAATGGTTCTTATCTTCCATGAATTTTTTCATCCCATTAGAAATCACAACTTAAATGTAAATCTATTCTCAAACATGATCTAGTTATTGGTTAAGCAAATGCTTAGATTTCAATCTTTGGGAATTTATGAATATATTTATGTATTAACTTTGTCATATTCTAATTTTAATATCTTATAAGTTCTCCTAATTATTATGATGACATTGCATATAAATGTTCCCATGTAATTCCTTCCTTTTTCTCTATTCTTCTTAATAAATCATCTGGTAATCCTTTAAATTATCTAAGTGGTGTCATACAACTCCACATTCTTTTCTCTATCATTTTAGATAATTGTAAACATTATAATGCACTTTAAGCCCATTCTTTTTATAAACATATTTCATATAATGCTCTCATTATTCTACCTGCACTTTACATAATATAAACCATATCAGAATTCAAAGCATATCCTTCTAATTTTAATCTGCTTATGTATCCTTATAATAATACATTTATCTTTGTTGTTGAATCTTCAGGTGATCCTTTTATTGGAACTGGTACACTCATCATTAATTTTTATAATTCTATCTTTTCTTCTTCTCTTATTGGAATTAATTTAAATTCATGTGATAATGAAAATACTTTGAAAATATCAATCATACCCATATTCTATTTCAAATGTTGATTATACACTTACATACTTGGATATTTTATATAATAATTACTAGCAATCTTACCTAATATTGTACTCTCAATATTTCCAGTCTTCTTATCATAAATAGCTAAACTATTCTTATCTAATAATAAACATGCAGAATGTATTAGATCAGCACGATATTTTATTAATGCTTAATCATTATTATAGTCTGGTATATTATATAATTATGGATTTCTTAACATTCTTACATATAAATAAGTATAACCTAACCAATTTACTCCATCTTTCAAATTCTTTATATTACCTTAAGCAACTTCAGCATTTAATTAATCAGCTAATTATGATACAAATTAAGATTCTATTGGTAATTGAACATTCAATAAAGATAAATAATATTTAAGTTCTTAATATGTTGTTAATATAATTCCTTCTCCAGATGTATCATATCTAGGTCTACCAGCTCTACCCATCATTTATAAGATATCTTAAGGACTCAATTCTATCCATTTTCCTTATTCTGGTGAATATATTTATGTTCCTTTTATTATAACTGTATGAGCAGGTAGATTGACTCCCCATGCTAATGTAGATGTAGATATCAAAATTTATATATTCTTCTTTTCAAAGAGACTTTCAACTAAATCTCTATCTCCTCTGCATAATCCAGCATGATGAATAGCTATACCACTTGCTAATAGTTCTTTTAGATCAGCTGATTTGATATCTTCTTATGCTATTACTGTCTCTAAGATCTTCTTTGAAGAACTTTCTTCTCTAATGAATTTAGATAATTCATCTTTTGAAAATGCCATTTCCTTTAATGTTTTAGCTGTTTTAACAGTTTCTTTTCTAGAGTGAACAAATACTAAAATTTATGATTTAGTGATTCTTTCAATAACTTTTTCATATAAAATTTCATTTGTTAATAACATTCTTCTTATTGGTTTCTTTTCATTAATACCAATATATTATTATTATAATGGAACTGGTCTATAAGAATTGTCAAAAAAGAATACTCCACTCTATTTAACTCTAATAAATGTTGCCACATCAGAATAATTTGGTAAAGTGGCTGATAATCCTACAATTCTTACTACTTCTTATCTCTCCTCCATTAATTTCAATTATCTTGCAATTATTGATTCTATAACTGGACCTCTACTATCATGTAATAAATGAATTTCATCAATAATCACTAATCTTACTAATGAAATAAAATCATTTTGTTATATCTTTCTAGTTAAAATATCCCATTTCTCTGGTGTAGCTATCAAAACTTAGATTGTATTCAATTAATGTTTAGTTAAATGAGTATCTCCAGTAACTTCAGCAACTTTAATATTATATGGTTCTAATCTATTTTGAAAATTATGTACCATTTCATTTACTAATGCTTTCATAGGTGCTATATAAATAATTTTAAATTTTTAAATATCAACTATACCATTTTAATAATATTCACCAATAGTTTATAACATTGTAAGTAATGCAATATTAGTTTTACCAGCTCCAGTTGGTGCACAAATCAACATATTTTCATTACTTAATAATGCCTTTTCATAAACAACACTTTAAATAATATTGAGTTCTTTAAAACCTCTAAATGCTTATTAAGCAAATTCAGGTAATTCACCTATTTATATCAAGTTATCCTTATGAACATTAGGTTTTGGGGCAGGAATATATATCTCTTCATATCCTTTCTTTGTTACTTTAAAAGAATGAGGAGGTAAATGACATTTCTCATTTGACATCAAATGTCCTTAAGATACAAACTGCAATTACTCTAAATCAACTATCTTTTTTGAAAGTCCTTAAAGATCTTGATCAGTAATATTTATTGATTCATAATATTATTTCTCATTTTCTTCTTAAATTATTTAAAATTAAGCATCATTTTTCTTCTTTTTTTGTAATTCCATTAAAATTTAAAGACCTTCTTATGTCTATCTCATTTAAGAATGGATTTATTCAACTTATTCAGCACTTTAAGCCTTACTTAAAAGAGTACAATAAAATATCTTATGTCTATTAGCATGTAATAATCTAATAAGATCAAAACGATCCTAACCAAATAATAAAACTAATTAATTTTCACATTCTATGTCAGTTTATAATTTCAAAATATCTAAAACTGTTTATTCCATTTATTATGCTACTATTGGATCTTAATATATTTTCTGTAATTCCCGCTATAACCAAAATCCATCTATATCAACTACTTTATTTCTTGTCTCTTCTACTTATACTTTTGCTTTGATAGTCTATTCATTTTATTCTTATGAATCATCTTCCTCTTCTATTATTTCCTCCATATCACTTGAATCTTATTCTTCTTCCAAATTCAATGGTAATTGCATCTCATCTGTATTTCCTTGTGTTATTTCAGGATTATAATCTGTTATTGCTTTACCTGATAATACAATATCTGAAAATAGCTCATTTGTCATCTTTCCAATTATTGCTTCTACTTCCTATCTTTTCTCAGAATCTTTCAAATTATCATTTTTCATTATTGCTAACACTTCATCAACTATAGACTTTATCACATCTTATGATTATTCCTAAAATAATCCATAAACTATAGACAATAATCTTTCATAGTGTAATCTATTGTCCTTTGTTTTTGGAATATACAATAGATTTTCATAAGTAGGCATTCCAACTCCTTCTTCTATTTCCATATTCACTTGCTTTCCCAAATTTAAACTCTACTCCTTCTTACTCTTAACTGGTTTATCTTTCACAGCTTTTGTACCCATCATTCTTGGGTTGATCTTTCCAACTAATGATTCAGGCTCACCTGTTGGCTCATCAGTCCTTGGTCCAGATTCTCTCTGAATCACAAGATTTGAACTCTATAGATAATTAGCTACAATATATTTACATAAGTAAATTTATTCTCTTGTAAATGCTATTCAGACATTAATTAAATTTATTCTTATTATAATTTTAATTCTGCTTTCACATTATGATTCTTATTTGTATATAATCACAATCTATAATGTTTATTAATATTTTTTATTTTAATCTAAAACTTAAATTTGATATTTTAGTTGTAGTATATAAAATATAATTCTAATCAATTGTTTAAAAATAAATATTAATTAAAATATCAATATATTTAGAACTCTTATGATGACCATATTAATTTATTAATATATTAAGTAAAAAATAATTATTATAATTCATAAAAATAGTATAATCCTAAATTATTTAGGATGTTAAAGAGATTAAAAAAAGAATTAAATTAATAATTGAATATTTTATTTGGTCATCCATTTCGATTAAATCTGGATTGAAGTCATTCAAAATCCTAATAGATTAATAAATTATAACTTCAATTATATATTTCTTTCCATTATTATCATTAAGAGGTGAAAATTATAATATTCTGATATAAATTTAATGGAAGTTTACTCTAAAAATAATCAATTTATATAATTTAATAATAGAAGGAACATATTCATTAGTCGATTATAATTTAGAGAATAAAGAAATTAGTGAATAATAGGTAACAAAACTTACTTTATAATGGTTTTTTATATTTAGAGTTCAAATTAAAATATTAAAATTTTAATTAGAATTCAAATACTTATTATGGAACTCTTATAACCAAAGATAAATATATATAATATAGAACACTTCTTTTAGTCTTAAATAATATAATTTTTTTAAGTTTTGTATAATTTAAACTTAGAAATTCATGAAAATAAAAAAACATTTAAATGATAATAATACTTTTTAATATTAATTATATATATTTATTTAAAAATATATAAATCTAAATTAAGCTAGATAGATAGTGACAATGGTAATAAACTTAAAATAAATAATAATTAATCTTATAATTCAATCTAAATAGCTTAATTTATTGAGTTTATTCATTTTTCTACTAATTTCAGAGAAAGATAATTACATTTAAATTTATTAATGAATTTTCTAAAAAATGTTGACTTCTTTGGTGTTCCTTTTTTACAAAATATAAATCAGCAACAAACATTGTATAAAAGCGCATTAGGAGGGTTTTTAAGTGTAATTATTGGCATCACAAGCTTGGCTTATTCATTTTGGATAATTTATTTATGGAATAGTAATTAAATGAGTCCAAAGATTTCTAATTCAAAGTATGTTTCTGATTATTCTCTACTAAATTTCAACTCAGGGAAAATCAGTGTTTATTATGAAGCTTATGAAGGAGTGATAGATCCTTTTCAATCACGAATTTTACTACCTTTAGTAATGTATACGGAAAATTTTCTTCCTACATAGATAAAATTGATTGAAGATAATGTAGATGCTTCTAATGGTAAATTATACGTACCAAATTTAGATTTGGGTTATACATTTATTGATGGGTATTAATAAACATCGAAATAAATGTACATATTCATATCACTTTGTGAAGAAAAGTATTTAAAAGAAGATGAAAAATGTGGTTCAGCTGAATTAAGGGAATAATTTTTTCAACAGCGCATTAATTTTTTTGGTGTACAAGTAGAATCAACAACTTTAGATTCTAGAGATGGATCAGAATAAATTACAATTTAAGATATATATATTGAACTTGAATAGTAGAGTTGTTATTCAATAAGTACATTTCTTGAGACCAATTTTTATGAAATTTAAGATTATTTATTATTTGGAACTACTAAATAAAAGGAATATATTAGTGGTGCAAAAGTATAAACTCAATCTCTTTCATCAGAGAGATGTAAATTAACCTATTAAAATGAAGCATTGGCTGTAATCTATGTTGCAATGAATGGAACATAAACAAAAACAATATTTTAATATCCAAAATTGGGAGATCTTTTAGCAAACATAGGATCTATTATATCAATACTCTTCATGTTTAAATATATCATTATCTATATGAATCAATATTCATTAAACTAAAAAGTATTATCTGATTTGATAAATTTGTATTATCCAGAATTTAAAAATATTAAAATCATTAAAAATTGGAGATTTAAAATAACAAAAATTACTCTAAATCATGTTTAAGTAGATTAGATTGAGTATTATAAAATTTATGATAAGATTAAAAAGTAAATGCAATAGAAACTAAGTTATATGAATTTATTGTATGAAATATCAAGAATATATTTTATAATAAGATCTACTAAATTACGAGATGAACTTTTAAAATCTCATCAAATAGGAATTAAATTAAATTTTTCAACTGTTAAAGAAGATAATTATCTTTCAAATTATAGGTCTGATTAAAAAATTAATACATAAGCCGAACCTTTTATTTTGAATGAAGATGATGCTGAATTGTTATCACTTTCAAAAAGGGGAAACCAAAAATATATTGAAACGATTCCTGAGGAAATCTATAATGAAGTAGATTATTATTATCTAAATAAAATAATTTGAATTTGTTATTTATATCCAATAAATATAATTATAATTATTTTGTTAATCATTAAATATCTATTTACTATATTTAATTCTTGTTGTTAAGCAAATAAACTCTATGTATATTTAATACACATATCGATTGATTATTATTATAATATTGAATTTTATTAATTTTTTATTTATATTACTATTTATAATAATAATCATAATTCTCATTTTTGTAAATTATACTTTTTCTCTATATTAATTGATAGGAATTTCATATTTTCAATATATAGATACCAAGATTTCTAGTATTATAATATATAATATTAGAAAAAATTAATAAATACTTAAGTTATATTATTTATTGAGATAAACATTAATTCAAAATTTCTAATATTTTATTTAATTACAAAAATATAATATATATTTATATTAATACTATTTATTATTATAAATATATATAAATAACATATAAGCATAAAACAACATTAGATTAAATCTTAACTTAAACATTGAATAGAATTATTAAGAAACATCTAACCAATGGTTATGATTGGATAGAGTTTAAAATATAAATAAACTCAATTTAACAATGATTGTCTTTCTTCTTNGAGATCTTTTAGCAAACATAGGATCTATTATATCAATACTCTTCATGTTTAAATATATCATTATCTATATGAATCAATATTCATTAAACTAAAAAGTATTATCTGATTTGATAAATTTGTATTATCCAGAATTTAAAAATATTAAAATCATTAAAAATTGGAGATTTAAAATAACAAAAATTACTCTAAATCATGTTTAAGTAGATTAGATTGAGTATTATAAAATTTATGATAAGATTAAAAAGTAAATGCAATAGAAACTAAGTTATATGAATTTATTGTATGAAATATCAAGAATATATTTTATAATAAGATCTACTAAATTACGAGATGAACTTTTAAAATCTCATCAAATAGGAATTAAATTAAATTTTTCAACTGTTAAAGAAGATAATTATCTTTCAAATTATAGGTCTGATTAAAAAATTAATACATAAGCCGAACCTTTTATTTTGAATGAAGATGATGCTGAATTGTTATCACTTTCAAAAAGGGGAAACCAAAAATATATTGAAACGATTCCTGAGGAAATCTATAATGAAGTAGATTATTATTATCTAAATAAAATAATTTGAATTTGTTATTTATATCCAATAAATATAATTATAATTATTTTGTTAATCATTAAATATCTATTTACTATATTTAATTCTTGTTGTTAAGCAAATAAACTCTATGTATATTTAATACACATATCGATTGATTATTATTATAATATTGAATTTTATTAATTTTTTATTTATATTACTATTTATAATAATAATCATAATTCTCATTTTTGTAAATTATACTTTTTCTCTATATTAATTGATAGGAATTTCATATTTTCAATATATAGATACCAAGATTTCTAGTATTATAATATATAATATTAGAAAAAATTAATAAATACTTAAGTTATATTATTTATTGAGATAAACATTAATTCAAAATTTCTAATATTTTATTTAATTACAAAAATATAATATATATTTATATTAATACTATTTATTATTATAAATATATATAAATAACATATAAGCATAAAACAACATTAGATTAAATCTTAACTTAAACATTGAATAGAATTATTAAGAAACATCTAACCAATGGTTATGATTGGATAGAGTTTAAAATATAAATAAACTCAATTTAACAATGATTGTCTTTCTTCTTATGATTATTCAACTTGGACTACTTCATAATCAGGAGAGTTGTATAAATCAATATAAGTTTTAATTTGATCATTCTCATACTTTAGGCAAGTTTATATTTACTAATTATAACCTTTAGATAACCTTGATGACAATTCATCAAAATTATCTTGTAATAAATTAGTAGGCCTAATAGATAAAAATCTAAGATATAATAAATAGAATTTACTTATAAAAGGATAATAAAGCTGTTAGGATTGCTGTACAAATAGAAATATAAACTTATACTTAAAGCTCTTTGGATCTTTTAATGGCTTGACTAACAACAAAATACATTTGTAATAGAGTTTAAGGTAAATCCTCACATAAAAATTAAAAGAAATAGGATTTAACTAAATTGCTCATTGCTTTTCCAGCATGATGTGGGAATATATATCTTCCTATTCTTGTATTAGGAATAATAATAACATTAAAAGGAGCAGAAGAATCTAAAAGTGTTGAAAGTGCTGCATTTCTACCAAGAAAACTGATAGCATAGAAATCATTAATAAATTTACTTGATAGTAATTTTGCAGTTTTCTAATTTTAAACTACTCTGACACCTATTAAATAAAAGAATTGTAAAATGTAAATTCCCTATGAGAATGCAGTTGTAATAAGAGCTAATAAAAATACTATAAATTCTTCACAATTGTAAGCATTTAAAATGAATACAACATCATTATATAGATCAAATTTAAATAATTAAGAGGATAATAAAGTTATTCCATAACTTAATAAGATTCCCCATTTAGATTAAGTGAATTCTTCTGCTTAAGCTGTAACAGCAGTTGTAAATTTACCAGCAACTTATGAAAATTTCTTATTAACTGCTGTAGCCATTTTTTAAAATACACTATGTCTAGCTATTTCAGTATTTTATGTTTAAGATTACTTTTTAATCATAGTAACATCTTCTTCTGATGCTGGGAGTATCTTATTTTTTTGTTTTTCTTGTGCTTATTCATCAAGTCTTTATTAATTTTCATCATCTTCTTTTTCATTAGCTATTTTATTAACAATTATTCTTTAAGTGTGATTGGGAACTATTTAAGCCACTTTATAATATAAAATAGCTTCAGTTATAAGAGTAATGACAGCAAATGCGTAATATAAATATGAAGCTTCTTTGCTTGTTCCATTAACACAAATATAATTCTTAGTTAATTAAGAAGCATCTCTGTCTAATAACTTGTATGTTAATAAATAGGGTCCAGCTAAAGTAATTACAAAAAATAATATGTTTGTAATGACAATAACAAAAAAGTAGAATTTTTATTAGGATAAATAATCATTCAATCTTTTAACTTCATCATTAAATAAATATCTCTTTGTAGGAATAACAAAAAAATTAAAAAATTTATAAAATGCTATTTTAAAGAATTTTCTGATAGGTCCAGTAGCATTATAATTATAAAATACTTCTCTAAGAGAGTAACCAATACCAATATTAAGGAAATTATCAAAACTATAACTTATCATTGCATATTTAAAATAATAAGTATCATAAAGTATAGAGTATATACCTTTAATTGCTTAAATACTTAGAGAATTCTAAATTCGAATTTTAGAAGGAGGAATCAATCTAATAAGAGATATAATATCTCTTTCATCATAACCTTATCTAAACATTTCATCTACAAGATCATCATTTAAATCATATTCAATTTATATCTAATCAATACTAGTATTGTGATGCTTAATATTATGCCATAATTTCAAAATTTAAAATTAATTTATTTATTCTAATTCAGCAAATTCTGTTTGAATAAATTTAATTTTAAAGATATTACAATTTTTCTCCTTTAAAAAATCAAAAGTATTTTACTAAAATATTAAATTATATGGATAAGGTGAACCAGGATATTCAGTTATATATCCAAAATGATTAGCAAAATTATCTAAAGATTATAAACTGATGTAAATATCAATTTAATCATTACCTTATGCAGTATAATATTAATTTAAGATATTTAAATAATGATCACTCATATTTAAATGATAAGGTGAATATTTTGATCGAGTAAATTTCCAATCTTTTAGATGAACGATATTCTACCTTAATTTGAGAATCCTTTAAAACATTTATAAAATATCACCAAAAGATTCTGGGATTCCATCAAAATATCCATAATTTAGACTATTATCATATTCTATTTCTACAGGTATATCATAAGGAACTTAATAATTTGGAGGTTATTCAGATAAATAATCAGCAATATAATCTTTTAAACTAACATTGTAACATAAGAAAGTATGAAGTGGTACTTTTTTATTAGGAGAAGCAAGAGCTCTATCTTTTATTACTTATGCTATTACATCTAATTTTATTTGACTGTCTAACATTGTACTAATCATGTTTAATTCTTCCAAATATACCATTGGATGAAAAAAGAAGTTTTTAAATAAATTTTACCATCCTAAATGAGTCAATGAATTATTTTGTGAAAAATTAATCTTTTTGACATTGAATTTATAATTTTATGGTTTTTTTGAAAAAAATTAAAGAGCTTCTGCTATTATATATCTTGTTTTTAAATCATTTAATGCCATAAAATGTATGTTCAATGTTTCTAAATCAGGAGTGTTATCAGTAAATACAAATGTCTTAAGAAAATTAGACCAAGTTTCTTGTTCTTCAATAAATTCATTTCTTCCCATATCTAAATATTTTATTGGGTATTTTGTTGAATATTATCTTTTCTAATCTTTTTAGTATTATAACCAACATTGAGCTGCCTAACATAAACTATTAGTCATTTCATCATTCCAATTAGTCACTTATACTTCAAATCTCTCAATATTGATATATTCAAAATATAATAGATTATTAACATATTTTTTGACTCCATCATCTCCTATATATAATGCATAATAGAGTGTAACTCGTTTTAATTTTAATGTTGCAGTCTTTGCTCTTCCCTCTTTTTTGATCTTCTCTCTAAATGTTGAAGCATATTTGCATAGAGCTTCTATTCCTGCTGGTTTGAAATGACATTAATGTAATACTAATTCTTCTAAATTACTTGATTCATTGTATATAAGCATTTTACTGATTATTTCTAAGGCATTAACACTTAATTATGTACCTGAATTGTACAACAAACCCATACTTAAATTGAAATATCTTATTTTTTATCCTAATTCATATATATCAAATTTATTTTCCAATAATTAGGGATCCTTTAAAATGATTTCTGTTATACCAACATTAGGGTTGAAAAGGAATTTCTTATAAAATTCATTTGGGTTGTTGCATGTTACTTATTTGATTTCAAATTTAAGATTTTTTTATTAATGTATATCCATTAATGAACAGATATCATAAATTTCAAACTCATTTTCTAATAGTAATTTTTATACTTAGAATAGTTCTAATATCTCAAATAACTTAGACAATTTTTCAAATAAATTCTTATTAATCTTTAGATCTCCTTTAAATATTAATTTTTTTAATTTTAAATTATCAAAATTATTAATTTTATTAAAAGTATCTACAATAATAGAAGTAGCATCAGTTTTATCTATTGTTATTTCTTACAATCCATTTAAAATTAATTTAAATAAAATCATACTATATTATTTAATATTGTTTGAAGTTTCTTATTTATATTTTAAATATATAGATTCTACTTTAACTTTTGAAAATGTGAATTGATCACATTTCTCCTCATTAATTTCAGATAAATTTGGAGAACTACTTAATTTTTTAATTGGCATTTTATCACCAAATATTAACCATTAACAATAATTAATTGTATCTTCTAAATCTAGAGTTTCTTCTATATCTGGAAGTGATAATTCTTCTAATTAGTAATCCTCTTTTCTATCAATATTCTTTAGAATTAGATGTAAAATAGGTTAAGTACATCCAGATATATGTAATTTAGTTAATTCTATATGTTTAGAACACAGAAATATTTATATAAATTTTTCAGTGCTTTCTGCATCATTAGCTGTTAATGATTTAATTTTTATTGATTTTATTTAACTTTTATGATCTTGTTTAGATTATTTTAATGCTGATTCTAAAAAAAATTTAGAGTATTCATAAGCTTCCAAACAGGCCTAAATGAAAATTATCATATTTAATGATTCTAATTCTAAATTTTTTAATTAACTTTCAGGATGAATTATAAAACCAACAATTAATCTATAATATTAAAATTTTAATTCATTATCATTAACATTTTTGAAATCCATTTTCATAACTAGACTAGTTATTTGTTTAGGAAATTAAGGGGTAAATTTCTTATAATTATAAATTGTTTTTTCCTTTAAACATAATTATGAAGTTTCAATAAGCTTTTAAGTTTCATTAATAGTATTATCTCTATCTTTTTCAAATGTACTTAATAATAATGATGGATTAACTACAGTTATTGATTAATCTTAAGGTATTTCTTCCTTTTTTTCTAATTTACTTTCATTCAATAGAACATCCCAAAGTTATTACCATGAACTTACTGACATTTGATTATTATTACTCAAATTTAAATCTCTTAAGAGAAAGACTCTATTATATAATTTCTATTCTTCTTTAATTGCCATAAGTTATTTGGATAATGCTTATAACATATCATCATTTAAAGCACAACTATCTAAATTTAGCATTTCTAATAATTATCTATTTGAATTTAAGACAATCTCTTTAATTAATGATTAAAATGTTACAATATCTTATATAACAGTTCTTTCACATGAAAAAGATTTTATTTTAAATGAATAATATTAATCCAATTATAATTATTTTATAATATCTATAGTCTTTTTGATACCAATTTAAAAATCTTTACAATTAATAATTGAGAGATGTTTAAGTTCACAAATAACTAAGAATGCACTTATAACATCATCTTAAATTGTACAATTTTCAAAATTTAATTAATTTAAAGCAAATGGTAATCCTATGCTTTCATTTTATATTTTAGAGAGCATATTTTATTCATTTAAGTCTCTTACCATTCCTGCAGCTTCTTTTTTTGATTTAATTAAATTAAATAATTCTTATTCAAAAGGATATATTAATTGATTAAGTGCATCAGAGAATTATTAATTTAATACTTTATCTTTTATTTTCAAAGTTTAAAGTGTCAATCTTTGATTAATTATAAAAATTTGAATTACTTTTTTCCAATCTTCTTTTGACTCTATATTTATATTATCAATTTCAAAATTAGTCAACAATTAAAGTGGATTATCATCTTGATTATTCTATACTAATTTTTCAATGTTATTTAAAAATTATTGAAGCTTGATATTTTTTAAACATAAACTTCTTAGATTAACTTTTTAATTGAAAACAACTTACTCAAACATTATGTCTTCTCCTTAACCTTCAAAAAATTCTCCCAATGATAATCTTTCAAGAGTGACTTTTTCACTCAATTCTATTGCTTTTTTTAAAGATTCAAAATTATCATTGTTATTACTTGTATAAATTTAAATTAATTAAAGTTCTTTTAGTTATATTTTTGGATTGAAAATAAATAGTTCTATAAATTAATGGATTTCGATATTTATATCATAAAGATTATTAAGTTTGAGTATTTTCAAACTATGAAATTAATCAGGATTTAATTTAGAACAATAAGAAATCATTTCTTGATGCCACCTACTCCATTAAAATGTCATAGAGTCATTTAAATAACTTAATTCTTCTAATTAAACTGATGGCAAACATAAATAACATTTAATAGTATTTAAGTCCATTTGATAATCTCCTTCATTCATTATTATTTTTTTAATTGAATATTTAGTTTCTGGATTATTAGCTGTCTTTTCTATCACTGAAACACATGCCTCTTACAATCCTTCTGCTCTATTTGCTTACCTAAATGTGCTTGCTTATATTTCAATTGATTCTATTTCAATGATACTACCTTTTTCTGTAAATAGATATTCTTAAAAGAATTCTTTTTTAGTTTATATTTCCATTCTATAACTTTATTTGGGATAAACAATATGTTTCAAAGGATGTTTATAATTTTTAAAAAATGCATCATCTTATTTCTTCTTTTCCATATAAACTAGAAATTTCTTTTTGGCTTTGACATAAGCTTAACATCTTCCAACATCAAAATTTTAAACATCTAAAATAATAATTGTTAAATATACGTAATGTTCTAATGTTAGAAAATTCAGTGAATACAGTATTAAGAAGTAATTTCTCTACTAAATCATGACGATTATAATTTTCAACACTACTTAAATCTAAAACTTATAAATAATCTTTTCTAAATTTTTATTCTATTTTAATCAAATTAATATATTACTTTCTCTATATAGTTATTTACTTTCTTTAGTTTTATCTGCAAATGCTTCAGTCAGAACAAACATTTTAAATAATGTAGATAATTATTAAGGTAGACTTCCTGTAAATGTTATTATTTTGCAAGATTTAAAAATGTTATCTGAAAGTGCTTTAAAAGTTTTCTCTAACATTTCTTTGTTATCAGAAATGTCTAATTCTCTTAACTTAAGATTATCATATCTATTCCCCATTAATAATTCAATAGTTTAAGAATTATGAATTAATGGTTAATTTGCAACTTTTAAGACCAGTAAACCTTTAGCAGAAGAAAGTGATGTACACATACTATTAAATGCATTTTGAGTCCCTAAAAAATTATTACTTATATCTAAATAAGTTAATTATTCTAAATTATCCTCCTTATATGTCGTTTATATAAGATCTTAAAAGCCTTTCCAATTCTTATCCGTAAAACAATTTTTCAATTATAGTTTATAATACTAAGTTTAATCTATTTTTGCTTCAGCTCGATGTATTCTTTTACTTATTAATTCATCACTTTTCCTCCTCAACAACCTTAAGATTGCAACTGAAAAAGTTTATTTATTTTTTATCAATTTATAATAATGTATCATATTATTCTCGAACTTTTTAAATAAATAATCTTTCAATTCTTTTAATAAGACTCCTTTATAAATTCCAGGATTACCCATTATATATATCTATATATTAATATATATATTTACACTACGAACATCTATGTTTCTCTCAAATAAAAAGTAAAGGAAATCAGCACAATCTTCATTATCAAGTTCATTCTGTTATAATTCAATAATCAATTTTTATGGTTCTATCCATGAAAGCCATTTGCATAATACATCTAAATGAACTTTATCTAATTAAGTATCTACAAATCCGATTGCCTTTAATCCTTCCATATTACGTAATTTTGTTTCAATATTAATCCAATTTTCAATCTTAAATGTACCTTTAAATCCTTTAATCTACAATCTTCTTCTAAAGTGTTGTTATGCATATATCTAAAAAATGTATATTTTTATACCTCTAGTTAAGCAAATTATTAATCAAAAGGCAATTCAGGTTTAAAAGTGAACTTTTATTTTCTTTATCCTTTTTTTTCTCCTTTTTAATTGTGAACTCTTAAACTCAAAGCTCTAGAAGGTCTTTTAGAGAGCTCATCAACAATTCCATTTGCTGCTCTTTGTGCTCCTCCAAATAATATATTTTACATACAAATATTTTAATATAATAATAACTGTTTCATTAATCAAATCACATATAAATATTATCAATCTATAAATATATTGATTTCTGACAGAATGAACTGATGATTTAGTTAACTAATTATATTATTAATTAATAAAATAAATATATTGTCACTAGTATATCAATCAATTTATATCATATTGAAGAACAAATTGTTTACTAAGACTAATTTATTTACTTAGAATAGCTCTTTATATATAATATTAATCAAATATTCTTGAGAATATTACCATAAATGTATATAATCGTTGATTAAATTAAATCATTAAAAAGTTCTATAATAAGATGAATTTAAGCCTCAAATATATTTTGATTAATTGAGTTTCTAAATTAAAAAATATTATTTATATCTAAATAATAATTAGTATATAAATGATGATTTATAAATAGGAATTTGAACTAAAATCAATTATCTAAAAAAAGAAATATTTTACTAATATTATGTCAATTGGAAATTATAAATTGGAAATAAAACATAATTATATAAACTTCATTAATTAGTTTGATAAAGTTATAAATTCAATAATAAAAAGGGCGATTATTTGCATCAAAAGTTATAATGTTAATATATCATCCTTCAAAATCTTCTTCATTTTCTATTCCTTCAGCTGTTTCAATAGAAAAAGAATAATCCTTCTCAAGAACTGAGATATTTTCTCTTGCTTATATAAACTCTCCTTCTTCCATTCCTTACTATACATACCAATGAACAAAGGCCTTTTTGGAATACATGAGATCAAATTTATGATCAATTCTAGCAAAGACTTCTGCTATAGCTGTAGTATTGGAAATCATACATGCTGATCTTGTTACTTTTGCTAAATCTCCTCCATTAACAAAAGTAGGAGGTTAATAATTAATACCTAATTTAAATCCTGTTGGACACCAATCAACAAATTAAACTGTTTTATTTAATCTTATTTATTTAAGTGCAGCAGTAACATCTTTAGGTACTATGTCTCCTCTATAATATAATGAACTTGCCATATATTTTCCATGATTTGGATCACATTTAACCATCATATTTTAAGTATCAAAAATGGAATTTGTGATTTCTGAAATTGTTAATTATTCATGATATACTTTTTATGCTGATACAATTGGTGCATATGATGATAACATAAAATGAATTCTAGGATAAGGTACTAAATTTGTTTAAAAATCATTCAATTATGAATTCAACTATCCATCAAATCTTAATGAAAGTGTTAAGGATGAACATAATTAAGCTATTATTCTATTTAAATTTGTATAAGACAATCTTTCTATATCTAAATGTCTATTACAAATATTATAAATAGCTTCATTATCTAATAATATACAGACATCATTATGCTCAATTAAAGCACTTTCACATAATACACTATTGTATGGTTCAACGATAGACGTTTAAATTTAAGGAGATGGAAAAATTGCAAATCCAATTTTAGATTTCTTATTATATTCTTCTGTCATTGATTCTAATAATAACGATCCAAATCCAGAACCAGTACCTCCACCAACTGAATGAAATATAAGAAATCCTTAAAGACCCATACAATCTTCTGTTAATTATTTAATTTTATCCATACTTTAATCTATTAAATCTTTACCAACTCCATAGTAACCTCTTGCATATATACCTCCAGCATCATCCTTACCTGATATCATTTATTCAGGTTAAAATAAATCTCTAAATTAACCTCTTTTTAATTCATCAATACAATTCCTATCTAAATCAATAAATATAGATCTTGGAACATGTTTACTATTTCCTATTTCTGAAAAGAAAGTATTAAATGCATCATTATTAAATCCTAATGTCTTATCTAATGTCATCTAACCATCAAGTTAAATTCCATGTTCTATTCCGTACAATTCCCAACAACTATTTCCTAATTAGATTCCAGCCTATCCTATATGTATAGATATAATTTCTTTCATCTTAAAATAGTTTGATTGAAAATTTTAAGAGATTTATTGTAAACCAATAAATTATTGTGTATTTCGATTAAATTAAGATATTTGTTGTATGTATTTATTTGTATTAAAATAAGATAATAGTGATATTCTAGATTGTATGTAAAATAAAACTTAATATTGATAGGTATGTAATAGAAATTGATTCAGATTGTATATTATTAATAATATGATAAAATTGATAATATACTTTTTATTATTAAGTACAACCTTAGGAATTTATAGTGATGATGATGTATTTTATTGTTATGATGATTTGACTGACGATGAACTTTCTGAAAAGATTATAGTGTAGCCATTAGATCAATATATATTTTTGATAGTTTGTATTTGAAGAGTGTTATCAACAATTAGCTCCATTAGCATTTATGTGTACTATGTTCATCACATACAGTTTTATTAAGTATCCAAATACAAGGAAGATGCCTGGAGATATAGTTTTCTTTATATCTTTATCTGATGCAATATTGTGTATACATTGGTTTTTGACTGCTTGTTATTACACTACATTTGGTGAAAATCCATTAAGTTCAGGTCCATTTTGTTAGATTAATTCAATGTTTAGTATATTTGCAGGAACTGGAGAAGTATCTTATAATGTTGTATTTTGTATATACATTCGATTAACCCTAAAAAATCAATTTAAAGTAATACCTAAATTGTCTATAATTTTACATTCATTGGCATGGATAGCAATGATTACAATCCCACTATTAGCTAAATTTACTCATAATAATGGTCTTTCAATATTTGGAACTTGTAGTTTTAAGTATCATCCAGGATTTCCTTTAGCTGGTATAGTATTAGTCCTCTTATATACTCTTATTTCATTATATACAATATGGTATTTCAATAAAGCCATTCCTGATGATGAAAAATACAGAGAAATCAAAGATACTTTTGCAAAATACTATTATCGTTATATAAAAGGTTCATGTATAATATGGACATGTGAAGCAATATCATTTACTATTGCTGGTTTTAATTGTTCATATTTTCATGAAGGATTTCTCCTTATATTTATAACCATAGGAAATTCTGCTAAATTATGTACACCAGTAGTGTTATCTATTTTAAGATATAATGATCCCACTATTAAAGAATAAGTTAAAAGATTATGGAGAAAAGTTTGGAGAAGAGATAATGTCTAAAGTGAATTACGTAAAATATTATTAATTATATAATTTTAGTGGAAGATGATGCTAATTTTTATGATAATATCCATTAAAATCTTAAATTTGATTAAGTTAATACAATTATATTTGGTATAAGAGCTGTTTGTAAATCAGATCTATAATTAGATACAGAAGAATTTGATCATATTAATATTCTTAGAAGATATACAGATTTTAAATTCTAAAATGATTCTATATCTAATAGTGATAATTTCAAATTGAAATCTAATTATAATTTAACTACTGATGATTTTATTGAAGAAATTCTTTATGAAATTGATAATAAAGGAACTCAGAATGAAAAAACAATTGATTTAAAATTATTACAATCTACTTTGACTGTCTATGCACCAACTATTTTCTAGAAAATTAGAGATAAAGATAAAAAAATGATTAATCATTTAAAATCATTTGATCTATTGGCTAATTAAGAATAAATTAAATAATTTAAAGGACCAGATGGAGGCAAGGGAGGTGCTTTCTTCTTTTTTACTCATGATAATAAATTAATCATTAAAACTTTATCTGATCAAGAATTAGCAGTAATTAGAAAGAATCTTATTCCATACTTTTTACATTTAAGTGAAAATGAAACAATTATTTCTCCTATCTATGGTATATATAAATTATTTAGATAAAATGTATAATATTTTATATTATAAATATAGGTTGAAGAATCTATTAATGTAGTAGTAATGAGAAATGCTATGCAAATACCATCAATGTATAGAATTAGAACTTATGATATAAAAGGATCTGAACATTCAAGATAAGTGTTAAAGAAAAATAAAAAAGCAAGTGAAGTTGAATTAAAGAAAATTACATTAAAAGATATTGATTTTCAAAATTTAGAATAATAATTACATATACCATAATAATATAGAGAGAGATTGAGAAAATGTTTGATTAATGATGCTAACTTTTTTAGTAAAATTAAATTAATGGATTATTCACTATTGATTATTAAAATGGATTGGTATACATATAGTTAGAATAATCCACATATCAAAGAAGTAGAAGTAAAATTCATATCATATATATATAAAAGATACCTAATTATTTTTCATCTGATTTGTAATGTATACCATGTATAAATGCTGTTGAAAGAGGAATTTATTATCATATAGCTATTATTGATTATTTGTAAGAGTGGAATGCTTAAAAAATAATTGAAAAACATACTAAAAAGGCTATTCATGCAAATATTGCTTTAGACACTTCTGCTTAAAATCCAGAAGATTATGCTAAAAGATTTATAGAGAAAGTTGCATATGTAATTATATGAATATTTTATAAATATATAATTGTTTATGTTTGATATATATTATATAATTTATATAATATATTAGATTAATATATAATTGTTTATATAAAAATGATTTAAGGAAAGTCTTTAGATTTAAAGTGTCAAAATAAAGAACATAACTATAACATTAAAATGATATGCTTAAATGAATTTTGTAAAGATTTCAGATTATTTTGTATGAAATGTGTTTAAAATCAATTTCATCAAACACATTTAGAATCATGGATTGATATGCCATAATTATATGAATAACTTAGTAATTAAACATAAGATTGTAATAAATTCTTGGTTGATATTTCAAATTCAATTGAGTCATCAATATAATTATTCGAAACATTAAAAGATGGAATTAAATTAAAATATATTCTCAATAAAGAAAGATTAGCAAAAATGAATGTGTAATAATTAAATATAGCAGTTGGTGAAATGATATAATTCAAAGAATATAAAATATAAGCATAAAATACTATAAATAATTGTGTAAAAACATTCTATTAAGATTTAACTAAACTTATTGTTAAGTTA